ACCTGAATCACTCCAGCAAGGAGGTAATTGATTTTAAAGCTCTACTGCAAATAATTCCACACCTTCCATGGGGCTCATTTCAGAGTGCACGTGCCATGTACTTACAGCTTCCTGCTCCTATCCAAGTGCAGTGAAAGACTGCTTACTTGGGCCACATCTTCAGGTTTGACTGGTTGATACCTATTTTCTTAGTAGCTTTTTTATGAACTCACTAAATTACAAATTGAAAATGAAAATACTGACAAAAAGCTTGTTTACAATAGCCACATTGTCATTCCAGCTCCACTTGAGTATCTCCAAAGAGCTATTCCTTCCCTAAGCAGTCTGGGGTTTTTAAATATTTTCTGTGGGAATCCTGTAGTACCTGCTAAATCTTTTCTTCTTCAGGCCAAATCACCCTAACTCCTTGAACCTTATCTCATTTTAACTATTTTTATTGTTTATTTCTTTATCCTTTAAAAACATATTTACTTAATAGATTTATATAATGCCTTCCTGGGGAGGAAAAGGCCAAGCTATGTGGAAAACATCTAAATAACACAAAACCTTTATGAACTGGAAAGAAATTTAAATGTCAGATGGGAGGGAGAGTGAACCTAGAGCAGGAGCACGGCCTGGGAAGGGAAGAGGTACAGAAGGCCCAAGCCCTTGGGGTCTGAAGAAGAAGCTTCAGATGGTGCAAAAATAAGTCTGTTCGCACAGACTGTTCACTGCACTGCTGGAGAAAGGGTCAGAAATTTCCACCCTGTCTCGCCACAGGACAAAGTCAGTTTCAGGCCAAACTGACTTTCTGGTTCTGTGGTGTCTGGTTGATGTAGAATAATAGAGTTAGACAGGACTTAAAGAGATCATATGACCTTGACAACTTCCAAGATCAAAGGCTCTGGGGCCTTCTTGATAGTCCATCCTCTTCATCGCTCTTTCCTCACCCCACCATCTCTCCTTCCCACTCCCAGCTTAGGCTAGGACCACAATGAACCTCAGCTCCCCAAATGGGAACTACTCTCATCAAGAAGGCCTATGAGACAGGCATGATGCTTCACACCTGTAATCCCAGTACTCGGGAGGCTGAGGCAGGAAGATCAAGAGTTTTGAGGCCAGTCTGGCCTGCATAGCAAGACCTTGACTCAAAAAGAAAAGGCCTGTGAATGTCAACCAGGAATGTCACTGCCTAGTACTTGGTACTGTTGTCATGTGAACATCTGTCACGGTGTTGACTCAGTACTTAGAGAACATCTTAGGACTCATTTAAGCTCTACTTCACTTGACTGGTGCATCTTCAAAGTTATTCCAAAGTTGGACTAGATGGAATCTAAAGTCACCTCAAACGTGAATGATCTATGACCTTCTAATTCTGTGAGCCAAAGCAGGAATAAAAGACTAATTATAGAGCCTCAAATACTGTTCTAGTGAAAAAGAGGCCTGCAAACAGCTTGGCACCAGGAGGACCCTATTTTACTCAGTTTAATCCTGATGACCAAACCTCAAGAGAAGCATAAGGAAGATGAAGGACCACATGTGACTGAGTATGGACTTTGCATATCCTGCAAAGTAGAGGATAAGAGCAGTGTCAAAGGCCAGACAGGGGCCTTCTCACTATGTCCTCAGCTACCGTAACAGAAGTATATTCTTCAAAGTGAAAAACAGACATATAATGGAGTATAAGGTGTGTTTTATGACTTATATTGTAGGCAGTAAGACTGAAAAAAACTGCCTGAGGAGCACTAGGCTGAAAAGATTCATCATAAATTCATTTTGTTTACTAAAGAAAACTCAGCATATTTTGATGGTACATTCCTAAATTTTTTTACAAATTATTTTCTTTTGTAGTGTTTTAAAGGGTTTTCCAATGATAAAAGTGGTCTTTGGAGAATTTTTTTTTTTGTTGTTAATGTGAAGGACACCCAGAGAGAACACTATTATGTTCCTTCAGTCTTATGTAGTTGAGCTCCCTTCCCATGGACGTGCTCAGCAGTGTCTGTTCTAATTTGCCTCTAAAACCATTTCCTGAAAATAAATGTTGTTTCTTGGAACTATCTTAACATTTCTTAATGTACTCATGGGTGAGAGCATTATAGAGCATTGCAGATAACTTTACAGATGTGATTATAGGATTCATATTAGAGTTCCCAACAGAGATGACACTTATTGCAACTTGCTCATTCTCAAACTCTGTAGGTGACTTCCTTGAAGCTCTTGGTATAGGAAGGGTTCACAGGTCCAGATTTAAAGTATCTTCCTGGGCTGGGGGTGCCACTCATATGGTAGAGCACCTGCCTAGCAAGCATGAAACCCTGAGTTCAAACCCCAGAACTGCCAAAATAAATAAGTAAATAAAAGGAGTGATTCTCAGCTAGTGTTTGTGTTTGCCCTAAAAATATGTGTAAATGCTAGTGAGTGGCTTTGCACCTTGGGGTCCTCAGGAGCTCCAGGTCTCTTTTCCCATGGAAGTGCAGAGTCCTTGGCTTGTACATCAGTGCCCTGACCACAGCAGGCTTGTCACTGGTCTCCAGCCTGGGAAGGGTTAGTTGTGATGCATTGACAGCCCATCCTCTAACTGATCTGCATTTGCTCTTTACCTCTTGATGCCATTGTTTTAAACATGGTGTGATGACCTGTCCCACGCCCTTGTTGATTGGTTGAAGTGGCCACTTTTCCTATGTATGAGTGGAAATTTCCCTTTTGATTGACTCAAAAGACTATTCTTTCTTTTTAAAATATATAATTTATACAAGGTCTTTGTGGACTTGGCAGACGGCAATGCTTGCAATACAGGAGAGGAAAAATATCAAAAGTGCTTAATACTTTCTTTGACTGGTATTGCTTTCTGATCAGTATTTTTGAGGTCTAATTTATGTGCTGTGAGGCTCACCAATTGTAAGTCTATGGTTTTATGAGTTTTAACAAACGTGTAATATAAGCACCATCATACTCAAGATATAGATTGAAAGTTTCCTTTGTAGACATTTGTCTGTGTTCATCTTGGGTAGACACAGATGAGGGCGAGGCGGGCATCATGGCAACCTGCCAGTTGTCTCCAGTGCAGCTTTGGCATTTTGAATGATTCTTTTCATAGTATCTTTTAGTTTCTTATCTGCACTTCTTTCCCTCCATCCATCCTTCAGAAAGCTCCTGCCCCTTATATGTGTGTCTCTCTCTGGCCAGAGACAGGGCCAGAGTTTTGCTTGGAGGAAGAAGAACAGGACCAGAGCGAGGTGACTTGGTATACCCACATGGCTGTCTTAGGGATGGGGACGTGGGATTGAAAGAGAAGGATCCTCCTGGAAGGGTTTCTGTGCTGTTTTCCTGTCTTATTGTGATACTGATGACTGCAAGTCGCTTGCAGTTTACAATAGTAATCACAATAGTTCTGAACCACCACCATCCCCAGTTTACAGATGATGAAACTAGGTTTAAGAGGTGTATGCGAGTCACCCAAGTTCAACTGCTTTTTACTAGCAGAGGCCTCAATTCCTGATCGTGACTCCAGGGCTTTGTCTGCGAACGCTGCTAAAAGTCATCGTGTTATTACTTCTACTTCACACATGTTATGTGATTATGTCTCATCTTCCTCATCTCTCAGAGTGTCCTTGGGTAACTGCCCAGGGTGACACAGCTGGCTGCACTGGACTGGACCCGGAGCTCTGACTCCAGGTTCTGTCCTCAGAGAAACAAACTTTCTTTCATCCTGAGAGAGAAAAGAGAAGGCAAACAGCAGCTCATCGGCACACTGTTCTCATCCTCCATCCCTTTTCCAGGTTTAGACCTGTAGTATGCTCAGGTTGGATGTCCTTCATCCTCATCCCCAGGCTCCACGTCTGTGCTCTTTGTTCCCACTGAGGAAATCAACCTGCTGTCTTCCTGTCTATCCTATCTGTGCCCTGCTGTCTGTCTCCAGCACTCCAAGCCCCATTTGGCTTGGTTATCTCGCCTATCCTTCTGATGCCATTTTCCCCTTCTCTGCCTGATGCCTTCCCTCTTTCATTCCTCTCTCCCCTTTTGCTTTCTTCCTTGCTTCTGCTATAAAGTGTCACCTGCCTTTTTCCAGGCTCCTGGGTTCCTTTGACTGCTTTGTAGTTTATTGTAAATATGCTGTTTAAAGGTGGTTATGGCAAGTTTCAGAGCTGTGACAGTGATGTTTCCATTTTTGTCATTAGTATGAAAATATGACAGTATTTTGTCATGAATATATTATTACATTCTAAATTATTTTCTAAGTTTTAAAGTTACTAGAAACTCCTTATGATGAGATCTTCATACTGGATGTTAAAAAGAAATATTTTTCTGTTGTGCTGTTCTATAAATAATAAGATTCCAAAAGTGACTCTTCCATTTGATTTCAATCTTACTAGGAAAAGCTAGTAATTTTCCTATCTGGGGAGCCCAAGCCACCAATCATTAGACTGTACATCACACCACTGCAGAGATGTTTGTGCCTTCATAGGAAAGTGAGTTTTACATTTTTAAGGCTCTTTGGCTTTATGGGAGGAAATTGGAAAACTGCTTCAGAACCAGGGCCTCTATATGGGAGATCTTGCCTCCAAGAGGAGGAAAGCTTAACCTGAGTTCAATCTATGAAATCTCAAGTAAAAATACCCTTGTTGGCCAGGAACAAACCCGGTGGAAAAGAGGCTGGCTGTGGGTCATCTTTAAAACTCAGATGTTACGTCTAGCAGCATTTATTCCACAGCAGGGACCCTCCTACCCAAACTTCATTTTCTATAAATGTATTTAGTGTCACAATTCCCCAGCATTCTGCTTTTAAACAGTGTATAAATAAGTCTCACCAGAAATAGTCGATAATATTCGTTTTCACTTTTTCTTTAAAATTCAGATTTGTAATATGGGTAAGAGGATGTTAGATAAAGGTACAGCTGATGCTCACTAGAGGAAGTTAGAGAACCTGAGCTGGGAAGGTGGTAGAGCACATGCATGAGGTCTTGAGTTCATCCTCAGCACTGCAAAAGCAACCAAACAAGAAAGAAATAGAAATAAAGAACGACTCTATAATGCTTAACTCAAGAGTCGAGTCCTAGGAGGGCCTCATGGGCCTGGTGAAAGAAGTGGAGCTGGTGCAGAGACAGAGGAGCAGGGTGATAGGGCAGAACTGGAGACTGGGAATCTTGTCTCACAGGTATTGAAGGTGATGGGAAAAGAAAGGGAGGGTCTTGTTAACATATTGCAAATTTGGGGAAAGGAACTTATGAAAGCCCTCAGTGCCTCTTCTGACCCCTGGTATTGGGTGGGGGTGCTTCCAAGGAAGCTGCCATGCATGCTTAGGGTGCATAGAGTTCCTTGCTGTGCTGTGAATGTTTAATTCATTTTTCCCACAATGCCACCCAACTTCCACTAAACCCGTGCTGCCTTTCAGCAGATCTAAAATTGTCACTTCAGTTAAGCACATTCACTTCTACCTTGCTTTGTGGGTGGGCACCATTTGGTTTTTGGGAGACAGATTTTAACAAAATGAAGGGCAGGGAAACCCTCAGCAGATCACACAACCATGTAGGTACAACTGACAGTAAGGTAGGACTGAGAGCTCCTCAGTAACTGAGCTGGGTAATGCATGTGTGGGGACTTGAAATTTTTGTTTTCGAAATTTCTTTTAATTTAGTTTTTGACTGTGCTTGGTCAAAACTGTGTGTAATAAATTTGTGAATAAGGCAGGCTTACTGTCGTTCAAAACACTCCAGTATCCTCATTCCTCAAATGTAGGAAGTGTGTGATGCTTGAAAATTGAAGATTCCTGTGAACCCCAGCTGTACAGAAGGCTTTCATAGTAAGAGAAAGAGTTAAGAAGTTTGTTCTAACCATCTTTTGTGTTTTCGTGCAATAATCATGACCATTTGCAGGAAAGCCCTGGTAGGGGAGTTAGGAAGAACCAAGGCACTGGCTGGAAATTGTCCCAGCATCGCACCCTTGTTGAGAGTTATTGCTGCAGGAGAGAGATGACGTGTCTATGTATCATCCCCATACTTGAACTGCCCTGTTTCCCAGCTATGTGATATTGATGGACTCCAGTGTGTTGATTATTTTTGTGAACTGCCTGTGTGTCGTAGCTAGACTTCCCCATTCCAATATTAAGTAACTATTTATGTGGGCTTTCTTCTTAGTCTCTTCTGATGTCAGTTTTTACATTTAAATCTTCTTTTGATGTTCGGTAGGGATCTTTTTTCACCTTCTAGATAGTCATTGATGAGTTGTCTCTACATCATTTATTGAATGAGTCAATGTTTCCCACTAATTGATAGCCTCCTCCAAATCCTACTTTCAAGCCATCACTGCTTCATGCATTGTACCTCATCAGACCTCAAACACCCTGAATCTGACTGTGGATATTCTTAGCAAGTTAACCTTTGGCCTTCAGCATGGAGTCCTTTGGCTTGTCAAGAGCTCAGTTTCAGGAACATTGTCATTTTTTCCTATACAGCAGATTGTATAACTGCACAATTTAAATATTTTGTTCCATTTTGCTTAAGTGTGATAAAAAAAATTAATGGAAAAGGGAGAAAACCACTATTGACTTTTTTAAAGGCCTGTAATTCTATCACATTTGACATAAAGATAGAAATCATTTAGGTTGTGTGGGTGGCAAGCCTTTCTCCTCAAACCGCTGCTTATAGAACCTAAGTCCAATGGCATGAAGGTGAAGACGAAAAGCCAAATTAAAGAACACAGACAACAGAACACAGACCATTGTGGGAATAAGCAATTTCACAGTCTCTCGGGAGGAAAGGGAATCTGGGCTGAAACGGTGCCACAGGTAACGTAAAGATGACTAAAAGCCTCCCCGAGCAAACCTAGGTGAAGGGCACAGCAGTTTGGGGACTCAAACTCTTTTCTAGTATGCTCTTGATTTACTTCTGTGTCTGGGGAGAACCTGTAGTCAAAACCTGTCCTGGCACCAAAAAGCAACCCAAAGAGCGAAAAGAAAAAATCCCACCCCATTATTTTTCAGTCCACTTTCATCATTCGGTAGCCATTTGTGCTCTCAGCCCCTCAGTACCGGCCGTCATCATGTCCTAAGGTTTTCCAGTGAAACACCCCTGAAGGGGTTCGCCTTCCCCTACTGCCACCAGCAGAGGGCGCCCCATCTCATGCAGTCAGCTTGCGATTATTCTGGCCACACACCTGCCTTCCATCCAGTCTCCACCCTGCAGCCAGAACATCTTTAAAAAATACCAAGTCTGGCATGTCAGCACCCCTGTCTGACCCAGACCTGTTACTGGCACCCCACTGTTTGCATGGCCTGCCTCAGTTTTATTCTAGGTCTCCTCACCCTGTCCTCTCCCCTGCTCACCATGAGACCTATCTGCAATGAATGCTGCCCTCAGGCACAGGGTTAACTCCTGCTGTCAGTAGATGTCAGTAAGCCCTTCCTGCTCTCATGACAATGTGACGCCAGGTCTCCTTCCTTCATGGCACTTGTTACCAGTGTGGAGGTCATTCTGATGCTTAGCACCATCAGAGAAAACATACAACCTTCGTCCCTTGACTGTATAGGACTAGAATACTAAAGTTATAAAACTTTTAATGACATTTGTGTTGTTATCTGATTGATGCCTAATTCCTCCACTGGACTTCAAGCCCCATATGTGCCAGTACTGCATCCATTTTCACTCCCATTATGTTCCTAGTGACTGCACAGAGGAAGTTCCCATAAATACTTGCTGAATATTGTTATTGACCCTATTGCAGCCTCGTCTGGCAAAAAAAGATTTCGTTAAGAATCTGTTTCTATTTTAAGATGTAAAATACTTTTATATATATTATTATGCTTTTCACTTAAAGATTTAATATGCCCATCATATTAATAAAATTCTTTCTCTTATTTTCCTCAATTGGAATCTGAATTTCCAGAACTGCATATCTTAGAAAATTATAAGCTCTATCAATGTCCATTTTCTGTTTAATCATATGCCCGTGCATTGCATGCATAGATAGAGCTCACAGTGTTTGCTGGTTGTTTATTGTATATTGTTTTCATTTGAAAAGCATGCAGTATGTAGTTTCAGAAGAAAGTAAAAAAATCATCAGCTGCACTCCTGTTCACATTATCACTTTAGTATATTGCCTTTTGTCTTTTGTTTTCTTTTTTTCTTGCAGTGCTGGGGATGAACCCAGGCCTTGCACGTGCTACACAAGCACTCTACCACTGAGCAGCACCCCAGATGCACCTTGTGGTCTTTTTATGTGCATTGTTAGCATTGCCATAATCACAGTGTATAGAAAACTTTGTGTTCTGCTTTCCCTCCTAAATAATGTATGGTTGATTGGTTAAAGTATTGTATGTGACATGTGGGGTCAGCTTGATTCATTCTGTTCAGTTCAGTATTTGTGAAGAAACACCACGCATGGCGCCATTCTGATGCTTAGCATCATCAGAGAAAATATATAACCTTCGTCCTTTGACTGTATAGGACTAGAATACTATGGTTATAAAACTTTTAATGACAATTTTGCTATACAGATGTATTCTGTGGCAGAAGGTATAAGCAAGACTTTTCTCCATTTGTTTAATAACTCCTTTCTTCATTTAGTCAGCAAACTGACTAGGGCTTAACCCATGGCAGGCACTAGGCTGTGTCCAGAGAATGTGGCAGTGAATGAAGTCCCTGGGTGCGAGTGGGAAATCCAGACAAGAAGAATGAATGAGTGAATCAGGGGCGAGTCAGAGAGAAAGGCAGTAGAGGGAAGCGTTGGCCTCACAGGCAGGCAGGTCTCGGTGCAGTGAAGGGAGAACTGTGCAGCTGTCCAGGAGAGGGATCCTCGGTGCCAAAGTCCAGAGATCAGATGTGTTTTGAGTTTTCAGGGAAGAGCGAAGAGCCAGAGGGAGGGTGGAAAGTCGCTGAGGGCAGTAAACTGGGGATCAGGGATAGGCAGGAGTCTCACTGGCCATGGTGGGGCCTCTGGCTTTTCCCGGGTGAGATGAGAAGTGGCAGGCTGATGACACACTGACTCCAGCCTTAACAGGACTGCCTTGCCCTGTTGCTCTGTTCCTTCTTCAAGGCCTTCAGCTTTCACCTTTGTCACTTCTAGTTGAGTGACCTTGTTCCATAGTTTGTAGACACATGCAGGATGCACCCGTAACATAAAGGGCTCGTTCCATGTGTGAATGTGCAGGTGGATGCTGAGCCACGCCCTGTGGGATGTCAGAGAATCAGAATCGTCATTACTGTTCAAGAACCCAGCCACATGTTTGAAAAACTATAATCTTCACAGCTCACTTCTCGATCTTTCGCTCATTTGAGGCAATTGTTCATCTCTAAAAATAATGATCAAATATGTTTTTCAAATTACATAAAAACTTCACCTAGTAAGATGAAGACCTGTCAGTCTGTAGTTAGAAAACATGCTTCAGTCTCTATCTGAAACCAGCTTTATTTTTTAAATTCTATTTTTTATATTCTAATCTTCCTCAAATTGCTGTATGGTTAGAGCTGTCATATGCCAAGTGAGATCCCATTAACAAGCTTAAACATTTATTTCTGAAAGAACAGCTGTTACAGGTGCACAGGGCAACTGATTTCTTCTGTTTTCCTTATTACAGGAGGCGACAAACCGGCTTTCCCAGACTGGGAGAAAAAATATGGAATGTGTTTTACCGCTGACTGAACACAACCAAATGAACTGTACTGACAGTAGTTTGAAAACCAACAGTTAGCAGTTTGTCCAGGCTCCAACACTGTCCAGCACTTTCCAGAGCAAACTCACTGTTTACAAGAACTCTCGGTCTTACGAAGTTAATAACCTCAAGCTTTGTTTATTTAAAATATTTCTGCGAAAGAAAAGTACCTGGAGCCTATTTTCTAAAATGGCCATGGATGAGTATTTGTGGATGGTCGTTTTGGGTTTTATTATAGCTTTTATCTTGGCATTTTCTGTTGGTGCAAATGATGTTGCCAATTCCTTTGGTACGGCTGTGGGCTCCGGTGTGGTGACCTTGAGACAGGCATGCATTCTGGCTTCAGTATTTGAAACCACTGGCTCTGTGTTATTGGGAGCCAAAGTAGGAGAGACTATCCGAAAAGGCATCATTGATGTGAACCTGTACAATGAGACCATAGAAACGCTCATGGCTGGGGAAGTGAGCGCCATGGTTGGTGAGTAGCTTTAGCCTTACACCAAGGGGGCGGGGGAAGGGGTGTCTGCCCTCCTGCCTCCCTGCTTCCTTTGCCATTTCCATACAGGTGACCTTTGTTTTAAGTTTTCAGACACTGGTTTGATGTTTTGTATTTACTATCTGACTTTCGCTTTCTGTGCTTTAATGTGATTATGATTTTTAAAGCTTCAAATATAAAGACATTTTTCTCAAATTTTTAGCAATTTGAGTGGTTAAAATAAATTTCAGCTATGTGAGTACTATTTGTAGAATAGGTCTTTATTGTTTTAGAGTTGTTTAAAAGTGATTAAGGAAATAATAGTCTAAGTGAATGTGTTTCATATTTTTACTATGAAATTTCTTTGCAGGTTGTTTATATTTTTCTTATGATTTTTCATCAGTTAGGATGTAATGAATGGTTTGAAAATATGGGTGTCATAAAACAACATTTGGGGCCGAGAGTATGACTCAGTGGTAGAGTGCTTCTTCAGCACTGCAAAATAATAAGACTATTTGGGAAGGGGTGGGGAGGGGTGGCCCACGGGAAGATTCGTGTTTATTATCCCCAAGGCCCTGGGTTCTACCTCTAGCACCAAGAAACAACCATACAAAACTAATAACAGTATTTATTATTTGACTGTCTTATTCTCAGTTTACGTTCTAAAGCCAGTACCAAATGAATCTTACTCAAGTGCTTATGTTTCAAGAAATTCTGCTCTGCTGTGTTATTTGCAACCTTTATGTGGCTTTTGTTTTGGTTTCTGATTCTATTTCTTAGAGCACCATTTGATAAGTGTGTTTCCCTTTCTGACAAAAAGAGGATTGTATGTTAGCTATGTGTAGTCTGACCTTTGTAATGCTGGCTTTAAGTTGTGTAGATGAATAATTTGAGGGAGTAAACTGTGGTAATAGCACCTTGGCTGGTTGGGCAGTGTAATTTCTCCATTTTTCATGGTGACCTTAGATATTGGAGCCTTTGTGTATGTGTGTGTTTGTTGGGAGGGAGGGATTCCCTTACTGCCCTGCTTCAGTTGAAAGAAAATTCCAGGCAGGAATTGTCCAGTGCAGCTGACAGGACTCTTTCTGCTTGCCTCTAGGTAGAGATGACGTCACAACAGCCAACCGGTCTATACGGGTAATTTGGTTAGGGAGAAGAGGGTTAGAGAGGATTTCCACCACCTTGTGCTTTCAGTAGGACATCTTCTTTGTAGGAAGAGTCCTGCAGTAGGAGGTAAGATGCTGGTGTACCAAGGACACAGCCATGTTCCACAAGTCCCTAGTTATTTACACTGTCACTAGCATTCCTCAGGTACCCAGAATGTGGCGATCGCTTGCCAAATGGAAGATAACGCCCATCATTCAGTTGCATTAGGTTAGTTTGAGAGTCATTAAAGGCACCTGGTCAGAGCAGAAAGAGGGACAAGCTGTGACATCAACAGCACCGTAGCCTGGTAATACATGCCATGGAGTCCTGCTTCTCAGTACTGTGTGTCATAAAGATGGAAGGCCAAGGTTGCTGTAATACCAATAGCTACTGTAATTATTTTACTTCCTTTACTGAACATAGATTTCTCAGCATAATTAGATTTAATTAAAATTTCCCTTAGAAAAATAACCATTTGTAAAATTTACCCATGATATTCGTGTTAGGTATCTACAGTTTAATCATATTAAACTGAAATTAAGATTTTTCTTATAGCTGGGAGCCAGTGGTTCATACCTATATCCTAGCTACTTGGGAGGCTGATTGAGAGGATTGTGGTTTGAGGCAAGCCTGGGCAAATAGTTCAAGAGATCCATCTCCAGAATAACCAAAACAAATGGACTAGAGGAGTGGCTCAAGTGGTAGAGTGAAAACTCAAAGTCCTGAGTTCAAAGCCTAGTCCCACACACACAAAAAAAAGATTTTTCTTGTCAAGGTCATACGGGCAAGTCCACATTGTCTCAATTGTGGGAGAAATAAAGGAAAATGCTGGTGGAGTTTCATCCTAACTGGAGTTTACCTTTTCCTTGCCTTGGAGAGTGTAGTGTTTATTGAGGAGACTTGCCAGCGAGGCTGCCCTGAGAAATTCAGTTAGATGGAGTTTTGAGAACTGAGTTCATGTCCCTACTAATTTTGTGTAGTCAATATAATTTGTCCAACTTCCAGTTTTCCCACCCTTGGCCTTGGCTCTTTACTGAAAGAATGAAGGATTCTTACCTCAACTAGAATTTGGGTTTACCAAAGCAATTTGAGGTTTTGCTCGAATGACATGATTGTTTGCTTTGATTTCTTTCGTCTTTTTTTCCCCTGGTGTGTGGTTAGATGAATTTCAAAGTTTGCTTTGTAGGAATTTGTATGAGTTACCTAGATTTTTTTAAGTCAAATTCCTTACAATTGGGAGCTATGTAAATTTAAAATGGTGGTATAACCATTGACCAAAATCAGAGCTAATTCTGTTGATTCTTGAATTCTCTTTCTCTTCTAAATTCTATCCCCATTTTTTCTTCTCTCCCCTCTCCCTATCCTTTTATTCTGTTCTATTTTTTCTTAGTAACTTCTCCCCCAGCCTATGGCCCTCTGCTTTCTGATAGATTTGTGTTAGAGTTAAGTTGGTTGGGTAGAAGAAATTGTTAATGCCACCTAAACTTCCTGAACGAGTCATCTTGAGAATTGGCTCAGCCCTAAAGTAAGTCAGTCCACTTTATGTGAACCACCATGACTTCATGACCCCACTGGGAATTCTATCCTGTGCATCTTCTCATGGAAGCATCCACACTAGTGTAACAAGCTATCTCCTTAAGCTGCATAAGATGTGTACAGCCCCTGCTCCCCCTCTGCTCCCTTCTCCACTCTGTGCCCTGCCCTTATCCACATCTGCCTGTTGTTTCCATTGTGACCCTGACCCTTTGCTCTGCCATTTCTTTCATCTTCTGTTACCCCAGACATGCCTGTCTCCCATGTTCCCTAGGTTTCTCCTTGCACCCTTATCCCATAGTTCATCCCTTTCCTCTTGGAGAATGCTATTACTTTGCATTCAAACATTTCTTTCCCCCACTTTTCTTCTTGGCATGCATTAATCCCCTTACCGTCAGCAGTTTCTGAGGGTGAGGAGGCTTCGATCCATCACAAATCCCAATGTGAACCTATCCCACCTGCCCCTCCCACCAGAGGTCCCTTCACTATTCCCCTGCCCCTCTCTTCCTGCTTCCTACTCCCCACCATTCCTTACAAACTCTCCTCTAGACCTATTTCACAAAGTTGGTGAGAGAAATCAGAGCAGTTTTCAGGAGGGAAAAAATCTTCTGATCTGTGTGCAGTGGGGTGAGCTTGCACCATCCTCTTATATCACTAGAGTTATTTGTGTGAGACTTACTAAGTTTTAAGCATTTTTGTAGTTTTGGGTTTTTGAGACAGAGTCTCATAGCCCAGACTGGCCTTGAAGTCACTGTGTACCCCAGGCTAGCCTGGAACTTGTGATCCTCCTGCCTCTGACTCCTTAGTGCTGGGGTTACAGAGCTGCCTTTCTTGTTGAAGCAGACAGTCCCTGTGGAGCCCAGGGCTCAGAGGTAAGGCCTCAGGAACTGTCCAGGGGAAGCCAGGTGCTACCACAGAGCCTGCCACTATTTGACAGCACAACTCTCCCAGCACATGCTTTGGGGATACACACGGGGTCACAGCCAGCCTCAGCTCAAAGGTCAGCATACCCAGCCCTCGCTGGAGCAGCTGTCCACATTGCCTCACAAATTGTGACCTGTGTGGCCAAAAGTGACCCTCTGTAGCTCAGATGTCATTGAAGAAAATGCCAGGGGTCTGCTTAACAGTGCTGCTGCTACCAAGCAACCAAGTTTCCAGAATTAACATTCTGGATTAATACTGTGCCCAGTTTATCGGCCAACTCTTCATTGCTGTACAGTTCAACAAGTGCTGCTGAAAGTGATCTTGCCCGGCAGACGCTTTTCATACTCACTGCAGAATCTGATCTGCTTATGAACTATAGCCTCGAAAAATATTAAGCCTGTAAGAGAGGGCTAAAGTGAACGTAAAAGGACCCAAAGCCAAACCGAGCAGGATCTGAGAGCAAATACCCAACTTTGGGTTAAATATCCCAGTTACTTTTCACCTGGGAGGCAAAAGGCAAAATAAGGGTGGTTTTTTGCTCTCTTACACAGACTACTGTGAACTGGCCCAACTCCTAGCCCTTGTTATGTGACTAAAAGGTGTAAGTATAGCAAACCTCCCCCATCTGTTGGCTTTCTTATCTTTCTATGTGCGGTGGCTTGGTTCTAGCCATACTTCACATCCAAACAGGCTTATCATTGGCACCCTCACCCTCATGTGACAAAGGCAGTTAATGAACCGATGTCAGGAGCCTCACCTGTGAAACAGAGTTGCTAAGAAGGAATAGTCTTTCCTTCAAGCTAATTGAGTGATTTTTGTCAAGACTTCAGCACTTTGGATAGAAAATTAAGCTCTGGGAGATGTCATTATGGAGAACAACAATTTGGATTTCTTCCCTAGGTGGCCATTTAAGACTGTGCCATGTGTCTGATTTTTTTTTTAAATCTTTCCATCTATAGGTTCAGCTGTTTGGCAGCTGATTGCATCCTTCCTGAGACTTCCAATCTCAGGAACCCACTGCATTGTTGGTTCGACCATAGGATTCTCACTTGTTGCGATTGGCACAAAAGGTGTGCAGTGGATGGAGCTTGTCAAGATTGGTAATTGCCATTTTCTTTTACCTATAAGAAGGAAAATTTACCTTTTCTAGAGTAAGTTTTATTAAAAATTGCCTTTATAATACGGTTTTTCCCTTCAAATGTAAAGCTTTATAAAACCCACATTGTATGGAGATACATTTTCCCTTCAAGTTTCAGTTAGTGGAGATTGTGAAGTATTATGTGTTACACTGTCTTTTTACTCTTAAAATGTTACATCCGACACAGCTTTGAAAGTCTGTGCTTTCCAAGCAGAAGAGAAACTTATTTGATTAAATCAGTCTAAAGTTCAGAGAAAGGTCAGGCCCAAGCAAGGAAAATGCCATGAGTCCAGGGCTCAGCCTTCACAGTCATGGTAAAGCCTCAAAATCAGGTCCCTGCCATCTACCTTCACTGTAGTCAAGAGATGTTCTATCTCCCCTTGGAAGGAGGCAGCAGTGTTCCTCGTAGGTTGTTCCTATTCCCAGAGGTCTGACGCTGACTCTGCTGATCTGCTTTTAACAAGAGGCAAATCTGCTTATCCCCACCTGCTGTGGAAAATATTCCTTTGCCCTATCCCCATCTGCTGGGTTGTTCTTTCTTTTTTTTTTTTTTTTAACCTGAACTCCCGTGGCCTCATGAGCTGTAGGTTACTCAGAATCCCTGACCTGCCACACAGGGACACAGACAGCCAAGAAAATCACCTTAGATCCTAGGCTTCTGGTTCCAGTCACTAGAGGTCAGACATGAAGTACCAGGCTGGACCTGGCAAAGGAAATGGAAGGTGGCCCGCCTTTTAAATAACCATACTGTTGGAGTGAGTCCTGTGTCTCCATGTATTGGTTTGAAAGCAGATGGAGGGTCTCAGTGGGACTGGATGACTGTGATTGCTGAGGCCAGAGCTTGAGAAGCAGGTGCCACCCATGATTGCGAGTGTGTCTGGGTAGAGCCGTGTGTGGATGGTGTCAGGAGAGCTGGCTGTGTTCTAGTTAGGATAAACAATTCTAGAAATACCCATTAATTTATAAAATATACTGGTTGCCATTGTATTATATAAATATGACCATGATTGAGGATGAATTTTAATATTCATTAGATTTTTTTTAATCATTCAGTTGCTTCTTGGTTTATATCTCCACTGTTGTCTGGTTTCATGTCTGGCGTGCTGTTTGTACTGATCAGAATGTTCATCTTAAAAAAGGTAAGTGAGCTGTTAATTTTTTTAAATTTTAGGGCTAATTTTGGTTCAACGCAATAGAAGTTAATAGTGAGAGGGCTTGGAGAGAGAGAGTTATGTTTACATTGTTAAGGTCCGCTCCCTGGACTTAGACATTACTCCTGTAGCCAGAATGAACCATGGTGAGCACACAGACTCCCCTAGGTGGGCAGTGCAGGTGGTGCTTCTTTGGCTGTGTGACTAGCAGCACTCTCAGGAATGGGGCTGCAACCTCAAAAGGGAACGGTGATGACCTCCTGACTGTTAAACAGAACCGTGAGACTGAAGAAGATCTTGAAATTGACTGTCACTAAAGGCAGCCAGATAATCAACTTACTCAGAGGTAAAGGTGCTTTCCTTCCCATTCTTTTCACAAAGAAAGACCTGAAATGCTGACCTAATTTGAGAGAAGACAAAATAGGAAATGTAGCTAGAGGGATACATTTTGTCTAAAAAATAAAATGAGATTAAAATTAGAGCTCGCCAAAGGTCAGTAATCTTTAAAAAATCTTTATTGCCATTTTTTATTTGACTTTGAAGGGACTGTTGCAATATCTTTTTTCTTTTGAAGATTTATTTTTTAATACACATGTAATACTTGTACTTATTTATGGAGTAAGTGTTATATTTCAGTACATGTATACAATGATCAAACAGGGTAGTTAGTATTTTCATTTCCTCAAATGCTGTCATTTATCCTAGAAACCTTCAGTGCCTTCTTTCTAGGCATCATAGACTATACTTGCCCTTCTGTGCTACCTGACATTAGAACTTTGTGTTAGCCAGCTTTTCATCCCTGTGACAAAATACCTGAGATAAACAACTCTTCAGGAGGGAAGTTATTTTGGCTCATGATTTCAGAGGTTTCCGTTCATGATTGCTTGGGGCTTGTGGCGGCATAGTACATCGTGGAGGGGACCTGTTCACTCCCTGGTGGTGGAGAAACAAAGAAAGAGGAAGAGGAGGGGCTGGGGTCCTCACATCCCCTTCAAGGACACACTCCCTGTGACCTAACTTCCTTCCAATAGGGCCCACATCCTAAAAGAAGATCAGTCTCAAAATACTTGTAGATTGTAGACCAATAGGGGTAAATGTGAATTTAGCCAAGCAGAAGGCTCTGTGGATTTGGAAGAATGTGCTAAGTTCTGGGCTTCGGTCCCCGGGCACAGCCCTCCCCAGTAGTTCTAAGTCTGATGTCAGCTCATGTGACTCTAGTGCCATCTTGTCTGCTGGCATAATAGTGGGCTCTTTGAAGCTGCATTTGTGTAGACAAGATATCCCCTGCACACACAGCAGGCCACAAGGCAGTGATGTGCCAGCCCATGTGGGATGGGGAAGGCTTTCCTATAATGGTGCCTTGTGCCATTTGCCTGCATTGCCTCCAGTACTGACCTCACTTTATCTCAACTGTCACACAGGAGGACCCTGTGCCCAATGGCCTCCGGGCACTTCCTCTGTTCTACGCTGCTACGATAGCAATAAATGTCTTCTCCATCATGTACACAGGAGCGCCAGGTAAGATGCGTGGAAGCTGGAGATGGCAGATTAGGAGCTCTGTAATCTAGCAGCGTTGGCTTGCTTGGAGCTATCATTGCCATGGGTTAACAGCAGACAGCACTGCTCATGCCCCTGTGGAGCAGTAACAGTAGTGATGCATCACCACAAGATATGTGATACAGAGGCAACAGACCTGCAAGTTAAGAAAAAGATTTCAGTCCCCATTCTGTCATTTACCCAGCTGTAATGCCTTGGCAGCACATTGAACCTCTCTGAGTCTCAGATGTATTCCTCTATCACACACCCCCTGAGCTGGGGAAGGAGAGAGAGGGGTTTGGCTCTCCAGTCCTGTGTAGGCACAGGCAAGTAACAGCTCCAAGTGATGGGGTATGGGGAGCTCAGAAGTGATCTATAGTGTCCAGTGGCTCACACCTGTAATCCCAACTAATTAGGAGTCAAAGATCAGGAGGATTATGGTTCTAGGCCAACCCAGGCAAAAAGTTAGTGAGATCCCATCTCAGTCAATAACCCAGGTATGATGATTCTTGTTTATAATCCCAGTTACACTGGAGGCAGAGATAGGACGATTTTGGGTTGAGCCTGGCCCTGGGCAAAGTCTGTAAGACCCTATCTGAAAAATAAGTAAAAGAAAAAAAGGATGTATGGCTCAGGTGGTATAGTGCCTGCCTAGAAAGCGTGGGGCCCTGAGTTCAAACCCAGTACTATGAGGGAGAAAAGAAAAAAAGTACTATAGTCTAGTTGTGGAACTCCCAGTACCTTGTTACTCCAGCAACTAGAAAGCAGTGGTGATTTTCTTTTCAGAAGTACTGTGTCTCTTTTCTTTTTCTTTCTTTGTTTTTGTTTTTTTGCAGTACTGTGGCTTGAACTCAGGGCCTTCACCTTGAGCCACTCCACCAGCCCTTTTTTGTGATAGTTTTTTTTGAGATAGGGTCTTGAGAACCATTTGCCCGGGCTAGCTTTGAACCACATGCAATCCTCCTGGTCTCTGCCTCCTGAGTAGCTAGGATTACAGGTGTGAGCCACCAGCACCCAGCACTCTTTTTCTGATGGCTTGTGGGGTTTTTGGTGGTTGGTTGGTTTGCTTTAGTTTTTTGAAAGAGTCTTGCTGTGTAGCTCAGTCTGGCCTAGAACCTAGGATCGTCTGTCTGCCAAGTATCTGGGTTCTTCTTGTGAGCATTCAGGGCTTGAAGGGATTTTTTTGGGGGGGAAGGAGGTGTTAAATATTCTCTTGTTTTCTTCTGAAGAGGAAAAGAAAGAAACTTGTACAGTTTTCTTACTTACACAAATGTCAGTGCTGATGAACCGTTAATGTTCTATTAAATTTTTGCATACTGGGCATAATGGCACACATCTGTGGTCCCAGTCTGGGCAACACAGCAAGAGGCATGCTCAGAAATACAAAAGAACAGAAGTATGCGCGCGTTTGGTAGCATCCATGCTTCTGTCTCCCTCGCGAGATGCCTGCCCTGCCGCACCTTGCCCCTGTGGTGAGGACACAGGTCAGCAGAAACGGCAGTTTGAATTGCTTTCATCTTAGTGATGCCCTTTATGGACAGTGACATGCACTCCTTGGCTTTATCTGGCTTGCCTCACATGCATCAAGCTCCGGGTTCCAACCCAGCACCACAGCGGGGAAAAGAAAAAATTTCTGCTAAGTGGCATGTCATGTTCCATTGAAAGTGCCATCTTCCAAAGTGTGAGGAAATCCTATAAATTTCTCACATTGCGTTTTCTCAGTGTAATTTGTTCCTGGTTTTAGTTTATTAGACATTTCTATCTTGTGTACTTCAGTACTGTTCATATGAGTGACTTAAGAGAGAGCTGGGCTGGGGCAGCTCTTGTTAGAGCCGCACTTAGCCTGCAGGACACTCTGGGTTCATCCTCAACACCACAGAAAACGGGTGCTAGTGCAAATAAGGATGATTTCTTTTTATTTCTTCATTTTCTTTTTTCCCCCCCTCTCTATTCTTGCTTCCTAGTTCTCTAAATGTCAAAAAAAAAACTGTGTAATTTTTTTTTTATAAAAATTTGAGTTTATCACCAATGCTGGTGGCTCACACCTGTAAATCCTAGTTACTTGGGAGTCTGAGTTCAGGAGGATCTGGTTTCAAGACCAGGCCAGGCAAATAGTTCCTGAGACCCCGATCTCCAAATAACCAGAGCAAAATGGATGAAAGCATGGCTCACATGGTAGAGTGCCTGCTTTTTTAAAATTCTCTCTCTCTCTCTCTCTCTTTTTTTTTTGGTGGTACTGAGGTTGAATTCAGGTGCTCTACCACTTGAGCCATGACCCCAGTTCGAGCACCTGCTTTGCAAGTGTGAAGCCCTGAGTTCAAAAACCCCAGTCCTAACTAGATAAGTAGATAGATAGATAGATAAAGAATTTGAGTTTCTCTATACTTGCCCTGTCTTTTCTGTTTCTTCCCCCCATCTTTTTGCTGTGCATTTATCTCATTTGCTGAAAGTACCATCATACTGGGCGAGAAAATTATTCTAGGGAAAATTAAACTATATGACAGGTGAAGCATTGAAGGTTATGTGAGTGCTTCATAGAACTGTTGTGGAAAATAGATAAATTTATTGAGCTGAATTGATGCCTTTAGTCCCCCCACCCCTCTGGAAGATTGGGGATATTAATCCCCACTTTGCAGATGGCAAGCTCAGGTACAGCAGTGTCAGTTCATGTGACTAGCAACACAGGATCACAGCTGGAACCAGGCAGCCTACTCCCAAGCCCCAGGGTCTTAGTAATGACTTTCACTGATATGTGAGACAGCTTAAGGAAGTACTTAGCATAGGACTTTCTGTTCTGGTACCACGTAATATTATTGACAATGACAATAAAAGGTGTATCAGCCTTAACAAATTGTTTCTCATAACTCTGTTTACAAATGTCTTCCAATATATTTGGGAACCCAGCTGTATGATTTTGTTTGTATTTAATATACTGGTTAGTGTGAAGAAATAGCCACCTACTTAATTATGAATATACAAACATGTGCATAAAGGTGTTGAAGATCCTTATTGAACTGAAACACAACACTGTCCCAGTCCCCAAGTTAGCATAAGTATTTAGGGTGACAACTGTTCTCACAAAAACATGATATATCCACCTCATATCTTCCGTTCCTCATCACAGAGGACAGGCAGTAGTCCCTGTGGTGATGTGGACAGGACACTTCACACAGTGCCTGGCACATCGTAAACTCTTGGTATGTGTCAGAGGCTCTTCTGTTACCACCAGCCATTACTGTCCTCATTCTTTTCAGCTATAAGTTGGCAGCAAGTTCTGTGTCATCCCATCTTTCTCTTTTTCCACACATATGTATGGGAAGTTTCTGAAGTTTTTTGAGGGGCTTGTCTAGAGGAGAAGGAAGGAGAAAAAGGTCATGACTCCAAAGAACCAACTATTTTGTTCCTCTAATGAGTTGCAAAAGGAGTTTGTTAATAGTTTGGTTCTAGAAATACTATTTCTAGAATATCCATCCAGGAGATGGGTCCAAATATTCTGTGTATTTAAGCATTGAAGGTTGTTGTTTGCCCTTCAAACTAATCTTTAATTTTCAAACTAGTTTTTAATTATATACGCTTTCCTTATGAGGGCATCTCTCCTTGTCCAGCTGTACCATACTTAGCCGGAGAGGCATATTTGATGAGGTTGTGGCAAGAAGAGACTCACTGTGACAGCAGCCCCTCCATCCATTGTCCCCTCAGCGTACATCTGCTTTTCTGTCTGTCTAGAATTTATTTTGCTTAGTTCCCTTGCTTCCTTAGAACATTTTCACTCATTACACAGGGGCTTCAGAGATAAAAGAGTAGAATTCTCTAACAAAAATGAGTTTCAACATTAAAAGATTTTGATAAATGGTGTTTTAATGCATGGAGATGAATTAAGTGGGAATTTGTTGGATGTGAGTTACAGTGTTTTCTTTTCACTTCCTCTGTTCCTCTACTCATAAGTTATTATGAAGTTGTTTATACCTTAGGCTTAGTTTGATTTGTTTTATTCTGTATCAGACATGATTTATCTCAAATAAAAGCCATTTTTATACTTCAAAGGCTGAGTTTGCACTTTAACAAACTTATCTTTGCATTTTTGTCCTTAAAAAAGGGATTAGCAAGAACCAAAAATAACTTTAGGAAACAAAGTACTTATTTACTTGGGTTGGATACAAGCCAAAAGCTTATTTTTAATTGAAAACAATCCTGTTCTGTAGGACCCGGTTTTTGTTGTGTGTTTAGACAGTGAATGCTGTAATTCATTAATGGCCCTTTGAATAGGCACGATAGATAACCTGGTAAGCCTCTGGTACAACTTCAAGTAGGTCCCTCTACCAGCAGCCTCACTGTCACTTAGTAACTTGTTAAAAATACAGACTCTCTGGCCCAGCCCTGGGCCTGCTACACCAAAAATACTTCAGCCCTGTAGTCTGTGTTCAGTAGGGAGCCCCGTATTGTCCCTGGTTCTTGTTACAGTTTAGGAACCACGGCAGAAGTCACCTCTCTTTTCCTCTTCTTTCCTTCAAGACAGGGTCTTTCCTTTCTTTCTTCTTTTTTCTCTGAAGCAAGGTCTCTCAGTGTTACCCAGAGTGGCCTCTAACCCCTGGACTTCTCCTGCCTCAGCCTCCTACATAGCTGGGTCTATACGTGCGTGCCAGTGCGCCTGGCTCATCACCTCTTTTACCATAAACAGTGCTGTCTTACTGCATTTCTTAGATAATGAGCACTCTTCAAAAGTTCTAGCTAGTAATCTGCGCTCACTCTTTTTTATCAGCAAGTGAATTCTCAAACATAACCAGGCCTGGTTTCTGGTTGCTCCAGGGCAAGTCTGTACCAGGGAATGGCTGCCACTGCCGCCTCCGCCCTTCCCCTCTCCTCCTCCTCTTACTCCCCCAGCTTTGCTTCTTTCACCTCTTTCTTCCCTATCTTTCCCCCTCCTCCTTTTCCCTTTCTTTGCTTCTTTTTCCTCCTCTTCTCCATCTTCTCCCCGTGCTCCTCTTCTGCCTCCTCTGGTTACAGCTCCTTCAACTCAAGCCCAAGGAGCTCAGCACACGCCCCTCAGGCCTCTCAGCTTTGTGAGAGGGGCTTTGCTCCCGAGGACCTGAGCCTTCCTTCCATGCTGTGGTCATAAAGGCTGATCTGGGGAGGAGCACACTTGCAACTACAGTGCTCCTGATCCTGGGTGGAGGAGGCCCCGGGCAAGAAGCGTTTCCAGTTACCCGCAAGGCTGCATTCAAAACAGAGAGATTTCAGTTCCCTTCTTTTTCACTATTATTACAAATGAACCCTGGTTTGAAAGAGCTGGTACTATATTATGCACATCCCAATGACAGTGCAAACCAGAAAGTACCATATTTTATTTCAGAAGTATGCCTCATTTCTTCAAGAAGTTTTCCAGTCCCCCATTCCACAGGTAGCACCCTCAATGCTTCTCAGTGCTGATGGAAACAAACCCCAGGACCCTGCTTTATGAGTTCAGGCAAGATAAGTAGGGGCAGGCTACAGAGCAGGCACATGTGCCATTCCTGGGGGTGTGTCCATAGTGTACTGTCGTGTGACAGGTCACGCATAGGGTCATTCTGCTTCCGAAAAAGTAGAAAAGAAACCCTCGCCAGCACTCCACACTGTGTTCACACCTGTTTAGAAAATAGTCTCTACTTTTTTCTGGGAAGTGAGCTCAAGAAGGGAGTGTGATGAGCGCATTTCACACTGGGTATTGCATAATTTTGTGTGGTCTTTCTGTATTCTGAGAGTGAGAATGTATCATATATGTAATTAAAACCAATAGTGCAGTCTGTAATCAGTAAGAATGAAAGTTGTAGGGAGGGCTGGTGAGGACGTGTAGAGCTACAGCCTTCCTGGTTTCATAGAAGGAGTATTTATTTTACACATTCTAGTGATGATTGTTATATGTGAAAAGTAAGATGTAGAACAAAGTAAGGACAGTGGAGGCAGAGCTTTTATAAAACACTGTATTCATTTCTTCCTTAAGTGACTTGCAATCTGTCTGATCTTTTGGGGGTTTAGAATAGAACCACAAAGAAGCTTGAGGTTAGAACGAAATCACTCTTCATCACATCTGTGTTACATCAGAAAATGAAAGGAACTGGAGACGAAAGTCCCCTGAGGTTCAGTGACCCAGCTCTGGCCTCTAGCAGCCACTTTTGGCGAGTAAACAGGAGCAACTCACACTGTGCCCTACTTTGTCCATCCACATAGGGAAGCTACAAGGCCCTCTGAAGGTGTAATTATCGGGAAACAATTTGAAAGCCTCACCAGGAAGACAATCCAATACAAATTAATTTCCCACAAAATATGTTGTGTGTAAGATGGATGAGTCTTTAGAAGAAAAAAGTTTTGCCTTTGGTGTACATTGATTCAAGTGCTCTTTGTTTTCTTTCTTATTTATTTATTTTAACTTTTTAAGACAGAGTCTCACTATGTAGTCTAAGCTATCCTTGAACTTGTGATCCTCCTACCTCTGCCTTTGGAGTACTGGGATGGATTACAGGCATGAACAACCACACCAGGCCCAAGTGCTTTTGTAGGCATTTTTGAACTGAATTGTTTCTTACCATAAAACTTGATTGTATATATTCAGTATGGTTTTGAGCTGTGTGATGTTACATTTCTCATATGTAGGCTTTGAAATTAATCTTTGTGTTCTTAAGATTCTCTGAGAAATTACCAACTGCTGGAGTTATTTGTTAAGACCCCTGTCCCCATTCTGTTCCTCGGTTCTCTCTTACTATGCACAATATTTCCCCTACTTTCCTAGGTCCCATCTCTCTTCGTCCTCCTCTTTGATAGTTGTGCTCTGTCCCCTACTGCTCCCCTCCCTCAGGGTATGTCTGAGTCTTGCCTTCCCTGTTTGTTTGTTTGTTTGTTTGTTGGAATTTGGAGGGTCACCTCAGCATTTTCTGGCCATTTCACAGGCCAAGTCAATGGCAAAGGCAGGTGTGATGTAAAAGGTACAAAGGGCATGTACGATATGGTGTCTTATCCAAGCAAAGGATCAGAAATCTTACAATTGACTTCAGTTTCTCCTTCTGTTGTTAGTCCTGACACCATGTGCCCCTAACAGGGAAGGTGAAGATGGGCTTGGGAGAAGCACAGGAAGCTACTCTTCCCTACTTTTGTTTTGGTCCTGCCTTGGCATGGATGGGAAAAAAATAGGATCTTGTAGTAAAAGTGCTCATTCATTTAAAAAACATATATCCCAAATTGTTTACCTGTCCCCACAGTACAAAGCATGCCTCTGCCGGATCAGATCAATAAGGAGAAGCCAAAAGTAGCACACTTGCCAAGCTTCCATCATCTAAACCCCGGGGAAACTTCTTCACAAGCCAAATGCTTCAAAGCCGTCAGGGTGGTGGGGAGGATGTTAACAGATTGGTCTGATGTTGGTGATGAGTTGTTACCAGTCTTTTGGACAAGAAACAGCTTTGGAGTGACCCTTTATCACATGTATGAAGACACTGCCATGCCCATACAAGTCAAAAGCCAGGAGGCCATAGCCACAGGCACACGTGGCCCAGCTAATGGCATCAGCTTGTGTGGTTTGACCAGCAACTCTAGGCTTAGGTTCATAGGCAGAGCTTTAGGGGCACCGGGCTGCCAGTTAACACTGTGCAGCTGAGAGCTGTGCTGAGTCCACAGTTGTGCAATGTCACTGGGGTTTTTGGAGGAGCTGCCTAAGTATGCCCACTGTGGCCCCCAGCTGCCTGTAAAGTAGGGGCCTATGAGGTTTTACTTTAATGTTTATATACAATAATTCTGACTCCCCATTCTGTAACCTCTTAAGAGTTATCAGAATGTTCAGTAATTCCATAATTGACTAACTTTGAGCTGGTTTGTTTATATAAAGTAATAAATAGGGTAACTCCTTTAGATGGTAAAAAAAAAAAGTTCTAACAGTTTACAAAATGACATTTCATGAAATATCTTTGAAGTTACAGTGTAAAAATTTATGTACTAAGAAGCGAAGTCCCCTACAGTTTCCCATTTTAACCTGTATCTTTCTGGAACTTTCTTCATGCATTCACACAGGGAATGAGGGATGGTTTCTTTTTGAACATGCAGTGTGGCTCTTGGGCCTCTCTCCCTTCTCCATGCAGACAGATGTGCCTCGCTTGTGCGCCTGTGTACTACGATTATTTTTACATTTCCGTAGTGACGCATGTCCTGGTTGTTCTGAAATTCTCATCACTATAAATGGTGCTGTAGTAGGCTGTTTTTGTCGATACATCTGTATGCTCACGTGTGCGTGAGAGTTTAAGTGGCACACTTGTGAATGCATCTGAAAGACACCTGTTGTCGCCCCCCCCCCCCCCCAGTGACAGAAATTGGACAAAATTCAGAGTGAAGAGCACTGGAAACAAAACAGTGCTGAGGACAAAAGACGTCCCTGAACTCCGTCCACTCCCGCCCTTTTATCAGCTAATGCGTTGCTACCCAGAGTGCATCACTGGGTTTCACTGGACAGTTTCTTCTGCCTTGCAATTCCTTAGGTTGATACTTCACAGAAAAGTTACAGTTGAAGGTCTGTGTCCTTTGAACAAACTTTTTCTCTGAGCTGACTTTAGAAAGTTTTCTGTATGTGATCAGAGATGTATCCATTCAAAGCAGAGCTTCTAACTCCTGAGGGGCCAGAGAGGGGCCATAGGGGAAGGTGCCACGTTCTCACGTCAGTATCCTCTAGCAGGCGGGTGGGGCTGTCTGTCATGTTAGCACAGAGGACAGCTGACTCCTTCTTGGCCACAGTTGTCCGCTCAGCAGTTTAGATACTGACATAATATGTACAGTAAACAACTGTATTGTATTTGGCTGTATTGTTTTGCCAAATTGGTAGCATTTTAATAATTAGTTTACTAACTAATGCAAGCACATATTCACAAGGTATAGTGTTTCTTAACGAATGGCTTTCTACCCCCAGATGTACAGCTTGCCTGCTTTGATTTGCTTTGGTAAAGAGGTTTTTTAATTGGTTTGGTGATGGAGCCCAGGGTTTTGTGCTTGCCAGGCAAGCCCTCTCCTGCTTAGCTATATCCCCAGTCCAAGAATTTATTAAATATAAAATCCAGGTGGTTTTGTTGGTTTTTTACATTGGGGAAACAGAAAGTACGTTGACATGAGGCCTCACCAATAGTAACACTGCTGTTCATTTTTCTTTTCCAGTGCTGGGCCTGGTTCTTCCCATGTGGGCAATAGCTCTCATTTCCTTTGGTGTGGCTCTGCTGTTTGCCCTCTTTGTGTGGCTCTTTGTGTGTCCGTGGATGCGGAAAAAAATAGCAGGTATGTGTTTCTTTTCTCTTCTGAATTTCTGCAGGCTCCTGCTTCCTGAGACTGCCCATGGAACCTCAGGAAAAGGTCCTTACAGTCGGGAGAATGGAACTGTGATCACTCCAGAGCATGCGCTGAGACATGCGCCCTGGCCTCTGGGCCTCAGCTCCTGACTACTGTCTGCTCATACTTTCTCTTGGAACTTGTGACCCACGTGAGCAGCAAAGTCCTTGTCCCCATGGGTACCTGGAAGTAGTGATGCAGTCAGGTTCTACCAGACTGATGGAAAATAGCAATCTAACACCACAAGGAGACAACACTTCACATCCACAGGAGTGGCTAATGGTAAAAAGATGAGCACATCCCAGTAGTGGTACAGAATCCTTTTACAAGTCATAACGACCACTTGGAAATCTGCCTGGCAGATTTAACCAGTGCAGTTACCATAAGACTCACGACTTTCATGCCTAGATTTTTATCCAAGAGAAATGAAAATGTGTGTTCATAAAAAGATTCACATACAAGACCTTTAGCCATAATATCCCCAAACTAGAAGCAACCCAAATGTACATCGGCAGAGGAGTGGGTAGCCAAATGTGGCATATTTATACAGTGGAAGACCACTCAGCACTGAAGAGAGTGCACTTCTGCCAGACACAGCCACATAATGAATTCTGCAGAGATCATGTTAAGCAAAGAAGCCAGATACAGAGGGGGGCATATGCTGTATGATTGAGTCCATGCTTCATAACCTTTCCATAACTCTTCTATAAAAAATGTTAATGGAATTTTCCATAAAATTCAATAACAGAAAGTTGATCTGTAGTGATAGAAACCACTGGTTCTTGGATGAGGTTTGGAGGAGACTGAAAGGGATATATGGAGCTTTTCAGGGACATGGAATGCATCCATCTTCACCACAGAAAGGTGACAGGGTATGTGGATTTGTCAGAGACCACCTACCACTTAACATGAATGGACTTTTATCATATGTAAATCATATCTCAATAAAAACAATTTTTAGAAAGAAAAAAAATACAGTTAGATTGGGGATATGACTTAGTGGTAGAACACTTACTTAGCTCTAGGCCTGGGGTTTGATCCCCAGCACCCCCTCCCGCAAAAAAGGGAAAGAAATGAAGGAAGAAAGAAGGAGCAAGAAACGGAAGGAGAGAGGAAGAAAGGAGGGAGTAAGAATTGCTAATACCAGCAACACAGTTGAATTCCAAGCCTTGAAGTCATGTGCTTTTGTAGGGCTCACCAGAAAAGAAGAGTGAGACATACTTAAATTTGGCCTCAGAATGTGCCTTGTAGTCATGTTTCAATATAGATATATCTGAATTTGAGAAGCCATGTTTCATAAAAGGCCAAAATAAATGAGGAGACATATCATACTCATGAAGTGGAAGACTCAGTTTAGCAAACATGATGATACTTTCCAGATTAATCTGCAGACTTAACATGATGGGGAGAAAACTTCAGGAGGACATTTGATAGCTCTAGATAAGCTGCTTTTAAAATTTCCATAGGAAGCCAAAGGAGCCAGAGAGGCAAAACAATTTTGAAGAAGAATAAAGTTGAAGGTTTCAGACCACCTGACTTCCAGACATAGAGAGATAGATGCACAGATGAATGGAAAGTACTAGAATTCAGAAACACAACCATATAGGTATGGCAAGAGAATTCTCAACAGAGATACAAAGGCAGTTCAGTGGAGAAACTATGGTCTTTTCAACAAAAGGTATGGGGACAATTAGCCAGCATAGGCCAAAACAAGAACCTTTCCTAAATCTTACAGCTTACAAGAATTAACTCAAAATGCATCACAAAGCCAAGTGTAAAATAATAAGACTTTCAGGGGGAAAAAAAAAGGAAAATTTTTTGTGACCTTAGGTTAAGTTTTTAGATATAACACCAAAAACATGGTCCATAGAAGGAGAAACTAGTAATTGTACTTCATCAAAGTTAAAAGCGATTGCTCTCTGAGAAGTATCATAAGAGAAACTTCTTTTAATCAAAATATATTTTAAAAAATTCAGAAAACAGATAACTCAGTTAAACATGAGCAAAATATTTGAATACCAGACAAGAATTATGAATGCCAAATAAGCATCGGAGAAATGCAAAGTGAAGTCCCCCCACCTGCCTAGCATTTTAAAAACACCATCCATGCTAGCTGTTAAGTCAGGATGAAGAAGGCCTAGACGTCTCACGTTGCTGATAGGAATGCAGAATGCTATAGGGAATTCAATAGTTCACTTGCCATAAGCGTACTCTCAACCCACTCTTGGGCATTTCCCCAGAGAATTGAAAATTTAAACCCACACAATGTCCCAACCTGGAAACAACCCATGTTACCCATAGGCCACAAGGTGCACTGGACCTCCATGCCTACAGATACTCCTTAGCAGTTAAAAGGAGCCGTCTGTTGGTTCCTGTAGCCATGGGTGAACCTCAGAGACATGGCGCTGAGCTAAAACTTTTCCCACATTGTGGTTTTGTCTGGACTACTTTCTGAGAGGCTGAACTTAGGCCAGAGACCAGATGAGTGGGTTGTGGTCAGGACTGGGCAAGCTGTGCCTGGCAGCGGAGTTGGGGTGATGGGCTCTTCCACGGCCCGACTGTGCCATGAGCCCTCAAATCTGTGCATCTTTGAAAACACAGGCTCACGCAACACACAGACAGTTTACTATGTGTAAATTTAAAAACTAATAATTTTTAAACTTCATATTAATGTACACAACATCGAACTAATTAGCCAAGCCACATTGCTAATGGGTTAGGGTTAAATAAACAAATATTCCTACATTCACACAGACAGCTAGCCTTGGTGAGCCATTCTGATATGTGGCGTTTGTCAGATGTGGGTCCCACAGGAGTGGTGAAGTATACCTAAGTGTTTGATTATTAAACGTTTTTTCTAATAACTGAACCTCAACATCAGGATCTTAAGGTCCTGGCTTTCCAGCTTCAGGCCCTAATGTCGCAGCAGGAAACCGATGTTCCCCGTGCTTGCTTCCCAGCAGATTTTTTTTTTTCTTGTTACTCCTGTATAGGTTGTATATTAATGTGCATTCATTATTCATTATTTTAAATGGAGACTAGTGTTAAGGTTAGGGCCACAGAGCCACCTGCCTACATTTGGACGTTGGCCATGTCTGCCACTTACCCCTATGTAACCTCAGTCTAGTGACTTCATCTCTAGTGCCTCAGTTTACTCATTAGCAGAGGAAATAATAATGCCTTTTTTGTGTGAATGTTAACTTCTGCATAATAATTACTATCATTGTCTTTGCAAATAGATCATCTTTCATCTAGCTCATAAACGGCTTGAAGTCAGAGTTCCTTATGTCCATTTTTTGTGTTCCCTGTAGAATATGACAGAAATTTAGTCCTAAAAAGCCTATCTGTGCTGGGCATGGTGCTGATGCCTGAAATCCCAGCTACTCAGGAGATGGAGGTTGGGAAGACAGTGGTTCGAGGCCAGTCTGGGCAAAAAGTCAGTGAGACCCCCATCACAACAAAACAAGCTGGTGTGACAGAGCACCCCTGTCGTCCTAGCTACTTGGGAGTGCCTGTAGTCCTAGCATTCTTAGGCCAGCCCCAGGCAAAAAGCAAGATCCTACCTGGAAAATAACCTAAAACGAAACATGGTTAGAGGTGTGACTGACTTCAGTGTTAGAGGGCTGCCTAGGAAACACAAGGCCCTGAACTCAAACTCCAGTACCACCCTGCCAAACAAACCTGACTATATACCTGACTAGGTAGCTGTGGATAGGTGGTAGAGGCAGAGATGACATGTGAGTGTCCAAAATTTGCTCAGGGTAATTCTCAAGTAGCAAGGTGAGCAAATTAGCAGCACCGAGTATCAGATTAGATTTAAAAGAATACAATTGAGATGTAAAACAGCTTTTGGAAAAAGCCCCTTGTTTATCATTTTTGTTTTGTTTGTAAGGGACAGTGTCACCGTGTTTGGCCTAAGCTGGTCTCAAACTCCTGCCTGCGCTCAAGCAGTGCTCTGGCGGCAGCCAGTGCCGGGACTGCAGGCACTCACCATTGCCCTGGCTTACTTGTTTCTTCTAAAGTAAAGGCCTTTTTTTTTTTTTTCAAGTGAATAGGGTCTTGCTGTTCCTTTTGAGGAAAACAATATTCTTCCTTCATTAGATTTGGTATGATGAAGAAATCTGAGACCAGTAATTTATTGACCAGAAGAAAAAACACACATGCTAGAACATCTTTGAAGAAAAGAGGGATAAGCATTTCAGGGTTTCTGAGGCTAGTTTACAACCATGTGGATGTACAGAAAGTCGACCCCGGGTGAGCTCCAGGTGACCTGTCTAACTTTCCTTTTGCTGCTGTCTACATGCAGTGACTCAGGCCCATCTGCTCCTCAGCAGCTACGTTTTCTTGCAAGAGCTTTCCAAATAATTCACTTCTACTTTATTTTCTTAACATTGTTTTCAAAGTGAGTGCTAAACTATAAAAAGACACATTTCAATATTCATTATTCAATTCTCTTTCAAAATTAACCACATGACTCTCTTTTCTCTAGGCAAATTACAGAAAGAAGCTGCTTTATCCCAAGTGTCTGATGAAAACCTCAGTAAAGTCCAGGAAGTGGAATCCCCAGTCTTCAAGGAGCTCCCAGGTGCCAAGGGCAATGACGACAGCACTGTCCCACTTACCGGGGCTGGTGGGGAGACAGCGGGGACCTCAGAGGGCACGTCTGCAGGGAACCACCCACGGGCCTCCTACGGTAAGGCTCTCATGAGAGCATGGGTTTACATGTGGTGGGGAGACAGTTCCAGTTTTATGTGCGTTTTTGTGGTGTACCGGGGATCCAACCCAGGCCCTGTATGTATGAACGCTGCCACTGAGCCATGCCCCAGCCTGAGACAACCCAGAGGCTACCTCAGTCTCAGGAGACCATTCCACAGCATTGTCACGAAGAGTCTTTCTCTGGGCTGGCAGTTTTCTCTAGGGGTCATTTTAATTTTAACCAAGGCATCCAGGGTCCACATTGATGTGTCTGCACTGTGCTCACTCAGCCACTGAATTGCTGGAGGTTGGTTTGCTCAACTCAGGATCCCTCCCTCATGGGAAGTTGAGGACAGTGAGGGATTGGGGTCCTATCATAGATCCACAGAAACCCCTAGGCACTGCCCTGGGGATGCCTTGCAGTGTCACAACACGTGTGGACAGTGGTGCGTGAGCTCCAGCTCCTGCCCAGACTGTCTAGGTGGCTTGTGCCCCTGCAAGGCAGGGCCTGAGACCTGCTTTTCCATAAGCATGGACTCAGGCTCAGCCTCAAGCAAGCTAACTAGGTTTTTGGTTTGGTGTTTTTTATGGTGGTGGGAATTGAACCCAGGGCCTCATACAGGCTAAGCACATACTCTGCTGTACTACCAGCCCCGCAAGACAAGCAAATTAACTTTGCTCTGCTGATCTGACTGACGCTGCCTTTGACAGTCACAAATGACATTTTTAGAGGCCTGTGACATTCTGTCTCATGTGAATGTAGTTGTCTCGTATGATGTTTTTCTGCAATAAATTCTTCCATTCTTGATGTTTATAAATAAGAAAGAATGTTGTGGCAATTTCAGGGAGATTCCTTTTAGCAGAAATTAAATAACATTTTTTTTGGGGGGGTGGTATTAGGGTTTGAACTCAGGGCTTTGCTCATGCTGTGAGCCATGTCCCCACTCATTTTTGCTCTGGTTAATTTTGAGATAGTCTTGTGTTTATTCCTGGGCTGGCCTGGACCGGGATCCTCCTGTTTGTGCTTCCCACCCAGCTGGAATAGCCGTCATGTGGCACCACATTTTTACTTACCATGTTTTACCCTTTTGTTGTATGTTTTCAAGTTTATTTTTACTTTAACCATATTATATGTTATTTACAGTTAACTTAGAAAATAAAGTTTTAGAAAAAATTGAAATCCCCCATAACCCAGCTTTCCAGAGGTCAGCACCATGAAACAGCTGAGGGTATTTCTTTCTGGGACATGGTTGTGCTGAAATACTGGATGGAGGGTCAGACCTGTCACGTGCGCCTGCTGGGATGGAGCCTGGGCGAGCACCACCCCGGCCCTGATGGGACTTCCCAAATCCTTTTCAGGCAGAGCCCTCTCCATGACGCACAGCTCTGCCAAGTCGCCCGTCTCCAATGGCACGTTCGGCTTCGACGGCCCCGCCAGGAGTGACGGCCACGTGTACCACACCGTGCACAAAGACTCGGGGCTCTACAAAGACTTGTTGCACAAAATCCACGGGGAGCGGGGCGCGGAGGAGAAGCCAGCACCCGACAGCAGCTACCGGCTGCTGCGCAGGAACAACAGCTACACCTGCTACACGGCGGCCATCTGCGGGCTGCCGGTGCACGCCACCTTCCGAGCGGCCGACCCCACCCCGGCCCCCGAGGACAGCGAGAAGCTGGTGGGTGACACGGTGGCCTACTCCAAGAAGAGGCTGCGCTACGACAGCTACTCCAGCTACTGCAACGCGGTGGCCGAGGCTGAGATTGAGGCGGAGGAGGGCGGTGTGGAAATGAAGCTGGCATCCGAGCTGCCTGGGCCCGATCAGCCTCGAGAGGACGCTGCGGAGGAAGAAAAGGAGGAGAAGGACACCGCCGAGGTCCATCTCCTCTTCCACTTCCTGCAAGTCCTCACGGCCTGCTTTGGGTCCTTTGCCCATGGTGGCAACGATGTGAGGTGAGTCTATTCATGTACTCAAGAAATACACATTGGAGCCAGGTGCAGGGGTGCAGGTCTCTAATCCCACTAGGCAGGAGGCTATGGTAGGAGGATCACAATCTGAGGCTGGCCAGGGCAAAAATGTGAGTCTCTATCTGAAAAATAACCAAAAGCTAAAAGGGGTGAGGGCTGGCTCAAGTGGTACACCTGCCCAGAAGGCTTAAGGCCCTAAGTTCAAATCCAGTACTGCTAGCAAAAAGAAAAAGAGGAAGGAAAGGAGGGAAAAAGAAAAAGAATTAAGTATTGTTGGAGGGGGTGGTCTCCTAGGTGCTGGAATATAGCTGTAAACACAAACAGAAATTCCTGCCACTGGGATAAGGGTGGGCAGACAGTATATAAACACACAGGGAAGGTTCTCTTTCTCCTTCTCCTGCTCCCTCTCTGCCTGGCTGAGACAGTCTTCTTATGTAGTCCAGCTGGTCTAGAACTCATGCAGCTCAGGCTTGCATCGAAATCCCCTTCTAGTTGCTGTGACTCTCACCCACACACACCTGTCTGAACTGCTGAACTGAGAGTAGAGCAAAAGAAACCATTAAAGGCCTGTGTGTCAGTGCGCTGCACGGTTGCTGAGGGCAGATGATGATGGCAGGAGAGGACATGAGTGCCTGAGCCAGCCTGACTCACATCCCAGTCCTGCCTCCTGGTAGCAGCAGGACCTTGGCCTTGGTGTCCTTGACAGGAGAAGGGGCATGATTGTGCCAGGTTTGCAGAGTGGCTGTAAGAATGAATGGCTAGTAGTGACCCCATAGTGTGGGCCTGGAAGGTCTGTCCAAAGCTGTGGCTGCAGCAGTAGCAGGGCTGACAGTGGAGGTTGAAAGATATTTGTGGGAAAAAAAGGAAGAAAAAAAGAACTTGTTCACTTTTTGTCATTTTTCAGTACTTTAAAAAGAATTAATAAATCACACATCCATCAGGATGGGTACTATCAAAAAAGTAAAGATAGTGGCACACCTGTAATACCAGCTATGCAGGAGGCTTAGGTAGGAGGATCATGGTCCAAGGCCAGCCCCAGGCAATAACATGAGACCCTACCTTAAAAAAAAAACCCAAAAAACTAAGCCAGCACCAGTGGCTTATGCCTCTAATCTTAGCTACTTGGGAGGCTGACATTGGAACAATCATAGTTTCAAGGCCAGCCTTGGGCAAAAAGTCCATGAGACCCCCATCTCAACCATGATGGCAGGCCCCATCCCAACAATGGCTGGCCTGGACAAAAAGCGAGACCCTGTCTCCAAAATTAAAACAAAAAGGGCTGGAGGTATGGCTCAAGCAGTAGAGTGCCTACCTAGCAAGCGTGAGGTCCTGAGTTTATACCTCAATACTGACAAAAAAAAGAAATGAAAAAAACAGAAATGTTGCAAGGATATGGAGAAGTTGGAACCCTGTGCTCTATTGGTGGGATGTAAAACATGTAGCCATGATGGAAATCAGGAAATCTCAAACATGTAAAAATAGAAGTGTCATTTAATCCAGTAACCCTATATCTGGATACATATCAAACAAATAGAAAGCAGGGTCTCAGAGAAGTTTGTATAACCATGGTGAAATCAGCACTATTTACAATAGCCAAGAGGTGGAAGCAGCTGAAGTGTCCATCCAGAGATGAAGGGTAGGTGTGGTGTATACTTCCAATGGAATTATTATTTGACCTTAAAAAGGAAGGAAGTCCTGTCACATGCTATATTATGGGTTAACCTTGAGGACATCAGGCTAAAGAGGATGCCAGTAACAAAAAGATTCCACTTATGTGAGGGATCTCCAGTCAAAGTCAGAGATCAGAAAGTAGAATGCTGGTTGCCAGTGGCTGAAGGAAGGGGCACAGGGTGGTTCCTGAATGGGTACAGAGTTTCAGATTTGCATCATGAAAAAGTTCTAGAAATCTATTTCACAGCAATGTAGGTAAGCTTAACACTGCTAACTATGGTTAGGATGGCAAATTTTGTAATACACTGTTTACTACAATAAAAATCATTTTTATCACCACTAGATTATGCTGTATATTACATATATATATATATATATTATAGGTGAGCCATAAGTACAGTAAGATTGGCTAATTCCCAAAACAAAGAATCACTGTATATTGTGTATACTGCAATGTGTTTTGTATACCTAATCTTTTTTTTCCAGTAACGCCATTGGTCCCCTGGTGGCCTTGTGGCTGATTTACGAACAAGGTGGAGTAATGCAAGAGGCAGCTACTCCTGTCTGGCTGCTGTTTTATGGAGGAGTTGGAATTTGTGCAGGTCTCTGGGTTTGGGGGAGAAGAGTGATCCAGACCATGGGGAAGGACCTCACTCCCATTACACCATCCAGGTGAGCCAGCGGGTGTGGGTCCAGAGCCAGACATCCATGTGTCTGAGAGCGAACCCTCTGCACCTGTGCTCCCACCCCTCAGCCCCTCCCTCACTACCCCCATCTACAGTGGCCCCCAAGGTAAGCAGCAGGAGGACTGGGAAGGAAGCCAATGCAGAAGCAGAGCAGGAGGGATGGAAAAGGGGCTTGCCGCATCCCTCGTCCACTGCTCCCCTCACCCGGGAACGTTCAGAGAGCAGGTGTGGAGGGCGAGATATGAGCAGCACCTGTGCTTGGGGCCTGCCTCTCCAAAATCCTCTAACCGCCCCCACACTATACTTCTCCAGCGATGCTGCCATCAGAGCCCATCTGCCTCCCTTTTCTGTGCTAGTCAGTTCGCTGTCACTATAACAGAATACCTGAGATAATCAATTTATGAAGAGATAGGGTCTTTTTGTCTCACAGTTTGGGAGTTTCCAGTCTGTGATAGTTTGTCCTCATTCTCTGGGCCTGTAGCAAGGAAGAGCATCATAGCAGGAGTATATGGCACAGGAAAACCACTTACTCATGGCCAGGAAATAAGAGAATGAGAAGAGGCGAGACTTCTATATCCCCTTCAAGGGCATGCCCCCAATAACCTAAAATCCTCCCAGTAGGCCCCAGCTCTCAAAGATCCTACCACCTCCCAATTAGTACCACCTTGGGAACCAAGCCTATAATATTGGCCCTTGATGGACATTCCAGATCCAAAGTATAACACCTGTCTTTCCCCAAAATTCCCCATCCATCCCAGCTCCCACCTGGGGAGCTCCCAGGGGCTACCTAGAACATCCTTGCTATAGCTTGGCCACATGGGGGCATATGCCCTGCTCCCTGGGTTGGGAGAGCCTTTAGGTGTATTAGGGGTTAAATAGCAAACTAAAACCAAAACTTAGAGGAAAAAAACCTAAAATTTGGAACTACCTATTTTAGGAAATCTTTTTTCTCTTTTTAAAATATATTGGCGGTTTCTATTTCCTTTCATTTCCAATTCCCCCACCCCCTAATTCGTTTTAACAAAACATTCTTTTTTAGAGGATTGATTTGAAGAAAAATTAATCATCTGAGAAAAGTTCACTTTTTTGTAGTAAGTACACACTTTTAAAATGCAGACTTTGTTTTTCCTTTGCCCCTTTAGAAATGACTACTTTGTTGTCTTACTACACAACAGGAATTTCTGCCCCAGTTCCTCAGTGTGTGGCTTTTGAAAACCTCAGACCAGTGGCTGGTGCACAGGGCCACCACTGATCCTTGCTGCTAGGCAGAAATGTCATGTTCTGTTGATGTCCCTTTGCAGTCAGCAGAGGTCAGTGCCTGTGACATTGTCTTTCTGTGCTCCCTGCAGTGGCTTCACCATCGAGCTGGCCTCTGCCTTCACTGTGGTGATCGCCTCCAACATTGGGCTTCCAGTCAGCACCACACACTGCAAGGTAGGCCTGCCAGTGAGAGGGTGACCTGTCACTGGCCACCAGGGTCAGTCCAGTTCAGCAAGCCCTCTGTGTAGGGTTTCTGGGTCTGCCAGAGCACTTCTGGGCATGGATGTGGACCTCCCTCTAGCTGTCCTTCCCAGTCTCTCCTGCTCCACAGTGTCACGCTTTCTGTTTACATGCTGGCATACCCTGGTGCCTCCCACTCCCCCATGGTGCTGGGACTCAGCAATGGAGATAAAAGCAGGAGTAAGTAGAAGTGGCGGGTGTGCGAGTTTCAGTCACCGCATCGCCTTAAGAGTAGACCGCAGAGGAGGAGCGACTCCCAGCCTGCCAGGTGCTCCAAAACCCAGGGCTGGGCGAGGGGACATCTGAAGATGGACAAGGAGGAAATGGGCTCCGTGAGCTCCAGGGGGCTATGTGAGACCAGCTAGGGGACCCGGCCCCTGAACCCAGTTCCTTAGTCTGGTCTCCTGGTATCTGCAGACAACTCACAAATATCCCTCTGGACCTCCTGTATACAAAACCTTAGCAACCTCAACAGAGCAATTCTTCATCCTTTTACTCAAGGATGGTGTGCTCTGGCCATTCTGCATGTTCCCCTTGGCTCCACTTCACGTGAGTTCACTAACATGCGGAGTGTGGAGGAAGTATACAGTTGTAAATCTATTCTTCTCCAAGGAAAAGGCTTTTTAACTTTTCTGTAGGCATAAATAGTCTTCTGTGCTTCTTTCAAGTAAATATGGCATCTTTGTAATGAATAACTGCACTTTAGCAAGCCTAACAGGCAAACTCTCACACTGGTTGAAGGATCTCTTGAAAACACCAGTACTGGTTTGGTTTTTCTATGTGGTTGTTAACTGCCTTGCCTGTTGGGGTTGTAGTCTACTCCATGCTGGGGTGTGAAGTGTTATGACGGACAATAATGATTTTGCTGATAACACAATAAGCAAACTCTAGAGTAGAACTTCTAGGGCTCTGGAGAGGGGACAAGAGGGTCATAGGATGAATATCAAAGTGTATTATGAAAATGTCACAGTGAAACCCATCATTCTGTACAATTAAATATGCTAATAAAAGCTAAACCCTTAGCCTTTATCTTTGTGTGTGTGTGTGTGTGTGTGTGTGTGTGTGTGTGTGTGCTCGGCCTTTGTCATGCAAGGCAAGAGCTCTGTCACTGACCTGCATCCCCAGCCCTAGTTTTGTCTTTAAATGTCATTTCCCCAGTATTTATATTCACACTATATATACTATACTATATATATATTCACGTTGCTGAGGATTTATTGTTCAGAACACTAGAATAAAACGTGCATGTCATGTTGCCCTAAAGTATCTGTGCAAATCATTTCAGTGTTGTTTCCTGAGGGTGATGATAGGTAGTATTAGGACAGCTTGTTGACACTTGAAACAAGTCTCCTTCACGTGGAATCTCGGTAGGATGTCTCTGTGAAATAGACCAGACAGAACTCAACTTGGACTGTAGTCAGGTGTTCTAGGCCATTGATCATGGACTTCTGAACAAATGCAGCACTGTCACTGCAAGAGGCACAGTCATTCCTGGCTCTGAGAATGCATAGCGCAGTGGGAGAGCAGATAACTCATCAAAATCCAAATGACAGACGTGACCTCAAGAAGGTGGCCATAGCAGCCCTGGCCTTTAACACACATAAGGTCCCTAAATGGCAAGCGTGGGATGATATCTGAGCAGTGTGGGATGTGTCACGAATGGGGCCTGTGTGAGTGAAACTGGGAATGTGCTGCTGCACATAAAATCACAGCTGAATCGCATCACGCTCCCAGGAGTGACAGTCCTCTGTCTGTCTAAGCCTCTTGCTGACCACTCCTCAGAAGGTGAGCAGAAGAGAGAAACTGGAACAAAAAAAGATGGAAGCTATTGTTGAGAATGAGCTTTTGGATTTATGTGGGTGGATTTATTCCTTCATTCTTCCATAGCTAAATGTGCAGTTTGAATGTTCTCATGCCCTATTCAAAATACTTAGTGATACAGATGGCTAGCTGAACGTATAACTTGGAGAAGAATAAGTAGGAAAACCAAACCTTCACATAGGGGATGGTCTGTGACCATGTGTCTTGCTCTCTACAGCCATTTCCATTTTGGTATTTCACATCAGGGGCTCAGTTTATCAGATATTTTCCTGAAGTGATACCTCTAATTAAGGTCAAACTCCTTCATTAAAGAAACAGAGACTACTCTTGAAAGTGAAGGTAGCTTCACACGTGTGATTCAGCACTGTGTAAATTGTTCTTCGCCTCTGTAACCTTAACCCACTTTGGTCTTTATTTTTGTTTTAGTTTTTTTTGGTGGTACTGGGGTTTGAGCTCAGGGCCCACACTTGGTAGATAGGCATTCTACCACTTGAGCCACTCTGCCAGCCCTTTTTCTTGTGATGGGTTTTTCTGAGATGGGGTCTTGCAAACTGTTCATTTGGGCTGGCTTCAAACTGCAGTCCTTTTCATCCGTGCCTCCTGAGTAGCTAGGATTACAGGTGTGAGCCACTGGTGCCTGCCCTCCGCCCCTGCCCTTTGGTCATTAGCCCTAACCTACAGCACACCGTGCTCACGGCTGAACACAGACGCTCAGCTTTCGAGCTGTTTGACAGGAGTTTGGTTGCAGTTTCTTGCTGGGCTGGGTTGAGAGTATTCTTTCTCGTGAGTTATACATATTGTCATCTCTGTGGGTGACAGATGATTTTAACCAGCCTGTGGATTTGGACTAGCATATAGGAAACACTACTGATTTTTACATTTGCATTATAACTTCTAATTTAATTCTAACTCTTGCACTTTGGTTCCCCTTACTGCTTAATAATTCTGTTACTTCTTTTTACCTGGTGATAGGCTTAAGCTGGAACCACAGTCAGCCTATTATTTTGTTGGTTTGCTGTGGATTTTTGAGACAGGCTCTTACTGTGTAGCCCAGGCTGGTCTCAAGCTTACGATTCTCCTGCATCAGCCTCCTGAGTGCTGGGGTTACAGGCGTGCACCACTACACCTGGCAGAACCACAATGAGTTTATTAAAAGGAAATTAAAACACAGCAAAGAATTTCATTTTATATCAACAAAAGAGACTTTTCATGAGGCAAATAATATCTAACAACTAAATAGTAGAACTCAAAAATAAGCCTGTGCAATTTATGAACAATGAAGTGGAGAAAAAAGTACTAATAAGAAATTTGAAAAATACCTCAAGAGCAGTATAATTAATAAATACAGATCAATTTTTTGCCTACTGATTACCTTCTTGGCAAATGTTATGAAAAATTTGTAAAAATTGTAAATTCAGAAGGCTATAAGAAAAGTGTGTAAAAATTTAGAAGTAGGAATTATGTTAACCACACCTCTAATTACAGGGAAGGTAAGCTGGAAATTAACTAAAATGTTGAAGGAAGAATATATTTCCTTCGATATTTTTTAGTGCTCTTTTAACTAACAGTTGAGTCAAGAAGTTTTAAAAAGTACTGTGACAGTTTTCTTGGAAAATAATAAAAACAGTATGCATGTGTGTGCTCCTATATGCACGCACACGTGTCTGTGAGTACACACAGCAAACCTTATAGTAACTACATTTATGCTAGAGTGAAATTTTCATATTTTTAAGTGGTTTAATCAAAGAGAATAAAATATTCACATTGAGATTTTACAAAAAGTCTAGAACAGTAAAAATCATGAGGAAATCATAAGAAAGACAAGAAGTCTAAAAAACTAAATAAGTTTAAAAACACAAGTAGTGAAGAAGGGCTAGGCTTGGTGGTGCATGCCTGTAATTTCAGCTGCATGGAAGGCGAAGGCAGGAGGATCATGGGTCAGGGCCACCCCTGGCAAAAAGCTAGTGAGCTCCCCTCTCACAGACAAGCCAGGCAGCAGTGGTCTGTGCCGTGGGAGGCACAGGTGGGAGGATGGTAGTCCAGGCAGACACAGGCAAGCACCGTATCTGGAAAATAAGTAGAGCAAGAAGGGCTGGAGGCATGGCTCACTGCAAGCATGAGTTCAAACCCAGTACCACTAAAAAACAGAAGAAAAGATGAGAGGAAAGTGGTTTCTAACAAAATATTACCAAATCACATCAAGAAAAAGAAGAGAGAGGAATTAGGTTAGAAAGGAAAAAGACATTGTAAGAACACACATGGAAGAGGTTTTGTTTTGTTGAGATGAGATCTCACAAGGCTGTTCACACAGCCTCGAGCTCTTGGACTCAAGTGGTTCCCTGTCCCAGCCTCAATAGCTGGGACTATCGTGCACCACTGGGCCTGGCTTAGAGACATTATTTTTTATTATAAAAGAAACCACACAAGTCAGGCATGGTGGTACACGTCTGTAATCCCAGCACTCAGAAGGCCAAGGCAGGAGGATGATGAGTTGGAGGACAGCCTGGGCTATGCAATGAGACCTTGTCTCAAAACAAATGTATAAAAAAAAAAAAAAAAAAACACACAGCTATATATGAAAGATTTGAAAACCTCTGTGATGTGAATTTTCTGCAAATACTGACACAGGAGGTAGGAAAAAAGTGGAAAGCCAGAGCAATACAGGAAACTAACAGTGTTCTCCAAAAGGAATTATTCTCACTCAAAAACAACAGACAGGCAAGAGCAAGGGGTGCTTCTGTCCCCTATTCTAAATTATTGCTTAACTCTCACTTAAAAAAAAAAAGAAATTTTCACATTATACATGCCTTTCCACAAAACAAAATTGAGAATTCTCTAATTCATTCTGTGGAGCCTGGACTGACTCGCCCTAGCACAGCACTAAGGACCATCTCCCCCAGTGAACAGGGTGAAACTCAAGGATGCGGCAGAGCCTAACGATCCTGCTGGCTGAACTCTGAGCCTGTTCATGGGCTCAGCCAGGATGTGCTGAAGGACCCAGAAGGGTGTGTGGACCTCTTCTGTGCAGTGCCTGACTTAGCAGTCCATTCAGAACAAAAACGATCATCGGAGAGACCCATGCCGAAAAGACACAGGATAATATTCAGTGGTTTTAAAACCACTACTAGAGTAAAACAGGCCCAAGTCCAAGGCAAATATACAAAAATCTAGACCCCGCTTGTCAGCAGTGGCCAGTTAGACAATGTAATGGAAAAAACGCTCCATAATTGCAGTTTAAAAAAAATTATTTTGGACTAATCCTAGTAGGACATGTGATGTGAAGAAGGCCAGATGTGTGCTGAGAGCTATGAAAGGAAACCTGAATATGGGACATGCTACGAACAGGAAGGCTAGGTTTTGTAAAGATACCAGTTCTCCCCACACACAGTCACAGTAGAGTTTTTCTTGGAACTTTACAAGATGAGATTATTTTGGTACAAAAATTATCAAGAATATAAAATGAGCTGGGTGCAGTGGTACATGTTATCATCTCAGCTACTCAGGAGACAGAGATCTAGAGGATTGCAGTTTGAGGCCAGCCCAGATGAAAATGTTAGACCCCCATCTTAACAAAAAGCCTTTAATTTCAGCTGTGTGGGAGACATCAGGTGGAAGGATTGCAATCTGAGGCCAGCCTGGGCAAAAAAGCATCGTATCAAATCTGAAAAATAAAGCCAAAAAAAGGGTTGGGGTGTGGCTCAAGTGGTAGAGCAAATGCGAGGCCCTGGGTTCAAATTCCAGCAAATAAAATGATACTTGGGAGGCCAAGGCAGGAGGATTGTTACATTTGAGGCCAGCCTGGGCAAAGTTAGTGAGCCCATATCTCCAAAGCAAAATACAAAACAAAAAGGCATAGCTCAAGTGGTAGAGCACTTGCCTAGCAAGTATGAGGCCCTGAGTTCAAACCCTAGGACCAAGAAAAGAGAAAAGTGACGAGCAGGGACTAATGCTACCTGATATGTATGGCACTTTGCAGGAGGGTTGCAGGCATGGCTCAAGTGGTAGAGCGCCTGCCTAGTAGCTGCAGTGGGGCAAGGCCTCCTCTTCCCTTTCCTCCTCGTATGTTTGTTTTTATATTTATCTCTCCTGGTGGGGGTGGTGGCACAGCAATGTGACTGTAACTAATGTCATTAAATTGATGCTTACAAATATTTAAAATGGTAAATTTGAGTTCACGTGTATTTTATAAATTTTTAAAAAGTAGATACTTGTATGAGAACAGGGTAGACAGCCAAGAGATAGAATCTGTCATATATGAGCATATATTTTGAGGAAAGGAAAATTTAACCAGAAAATGACATTGGATACCTGGCTATCAATCTAGAAAAACAAAATTAGAAACACAACTCCCAGAGACATACACATAAATCTGGTGGCTTAAATTTAAAATATTCTTAACTTTTAAATAAAATAGAATTTTATTTTTAAATTTTTATAATAAAAAATAGAATTAGATGAATATCAAATATTTAAGGTAAGCATAAATCACAGCAGAAGGAGAAAGAGGCTTGATAAAAAGAAAGATGTTGTAATGATATTAAAATGTGTCTACAGATTGCAACAGAGTGTTAAGAATTGGTGAATTTGGGTCGAGTACGTACGGGAGTTTACACTTCAAATTACTTCAAAATATATTTCAAATGTTCCATTTTAAAAATTAATAACCTATTTCAGAGAATATTATTTTGAAAGCCTAAGTGTAAGCTATGAATTATGTATGTCTAAATGTGTTATACACATATTAGCCATGGAACTTGTCATAATAGGGGAAGATTAGAAACAAATTCAAACCAGGTAAGTGAAGGCACATCCACCCTAATCTCCCATTTCACATGACCTTATAAAGACTTGTTATTTAAAAAAAAAAAACAAAAAGAAAAAAAGTGTTACACAAAAAGAAGAGCTAGAGAGCCTGGGTCCTGGGCACTTGCTTCAAGCAGCGTAGAACAGCTGCAAGACTGCCACACGGGAGCCTAGACAACAGGAAGCCTTAAGGCCAGAAGCTGACACGTGTTGGTTTGACTTCTTTTGAGGCCCAACAGATCCTCCTCAGGCCTCATGCAGAAGAAAAATCTTTATTTTCTAGCATGTTCTAGGAACTGCCAGACAGGATTATGGTATTCACAGTATACTGACTGTGGGCAAAGAATTTGAGTAAAACTCGTCATTGTGATGACCCCTCACAGGGTTTAGCTGTTACGCTGGAAATGAACCAAAATTGCTGGTTAATCCCGTTTGGCTGATCGGCGTCAAAGTAACTGCCCTGAAGCACGCTGCAGTGTTTTAGTGGTCCCGTGTGCATAGCTAGCCCTCTGATGCTTCAGGTCACCCTTTGTATTGGGATCTCCATGGTCACTGCTGAGTGTCTAGAGATCAATAGAAAAGAGCGTCTTTGTAAGGAAGCTCTTCAAAATCCTCCTCGCGTGTGACCCAGGGCACCATGGAAACCTCCTTTGAGCCCAGCCAGTCCCCGTGTGATGTGTGAGCCGCGTGAGACGTTGTGGGCATTGTACCTAAAGTGATGTCTCTTTTCCTTTTGAAAATTTCAACAAATCACAAGTGAACTGCAAGTGTTTAGAAAAGTACTGGACTCCATGTTCATATTCTGATTTTCATGTATCTGTAATTGTCATTTTATGGGTTGTGATTTACACAGTAGATCCAGTAACACGTATTTATGCAGAGTGTATGTAAAAAAAGTGCGGCACAAGTATATGTATAGAAAAAAATAATCCTAAAGCCGTTCTACCTAAAATCAACTTTTTTTCCTAGAGGAAATAATTGGCAACTTTATAGTGTGGCTTATTTCTGTACTTAGCTCATTTACATCAGTTGAATAGACTTTGCATTCCTCAAAATCCACGGACCTCACTTTCACTTGAAAATGTCTGTGTTTCTCCAGGTCGGTTCAGTGGTGGCCGTGGGCTGGATCCGCTCCCGGAAGGCTGTGGACTGGCGCCTCTTCCGGAACATCTTTGTGGCCTGGTTTGTGACTGTCCCTGTGGCCGGGTTGTTCAGTGCTGCTATCATGGCTCTTCTTATGTATGGGATCCTTCCATACGTGTGATTTGTTTTCTTCCCACCAGTAAACAAGGGATAGTGAGTGTGTGGGAGGCATGTGCCCTGGCATCTCCTCTCCCTTTTCTCTTACACACAGACAGACACACAGACACACACACACAGACACGCACATGCACACATGCTCTCTCCCACCCAGCCCTGCCCAGCCCTCTCAGAAGGTTCCATGCCACACTGCTCACTCAGGCTGCAAAGGTTCATCTTCCAGAGCTCACTTAACTACTGTACATAGTAGTGTGCATTAAAGTGGTGTCGTGCCGATATGATGTGGTGCAGTTACTTATATATTAAATGCATATTGTATACATAGAAATGGTAGCATTACTTCAAACATACTCAAAACGGGAGTGGAGACTATTGCCTAGGATTCAGTGTCAATAAATCTTGTACATAATGATTTCAGTGGCAAATGTTAAAAACTTTTAAAAGGAAAGTGTAGATTGGAAAATCACTTTTTCCAAACAGTATTTTCCCCTTTTAATATACTGTAAGATAAAGGATACAAGACACAAACTTGGTTGGGTGTGCACAGGCCTGTGTGTGACTGCACAATGCTGGGACAGGAGTTCACAACTGCTCTCACTGAAGAATCTGTTCATGTACTACGTATGGACTATTGTATAATATATCACCGTTGCTTTGTAAATACTTAAAACTGTTATTTTTTTAATGGTGTGCTTCCCGTATGCCTTTTTGATCCGAGACTTTTGGAAAGTACCAAAGAAGCAGGGGATAGTTACAGTGTTACGTGCTCACGTTGCCTGTCTCCCCTTCTCACTGATCACTACCGTCAGCCTGCAGTGTGGCAGAGCAGCCATGCTGTAACCCGCCAAGAGCAGCGTGTGTGGTTGAGGCACCAGCCACCCATCATGTACATGTCCCCCACCAGCAGCACCACTGTTGCCACTCCCCAGATCCTGGTCAGCCATCTGGTGGCTTTTTGTTGTCACCAGTGTGGAGCATGAACAGGCCTAAGGATGTACAACCGAGCACTACACATCAAGTCCGGTTTAGCTTCCATCCCTGTGCGCCCCTGCAGCCTGAAAAGCTGAGTCTTGTCTCAACCATGAAAGCCAGTGAGGCTTTTTGTGAGCTTTGACAGTCTAGAAATTCGGGTGCTGAGGGAAGCAAATAGGGGAACACTCTGGGTTTGAGGAACTCCTTGAGGCCTTTACTAAGCGGAACATCCGGGGCTCTCAGAGCCACTGGGTTCTCTTCGCTTGCTAGCAGAAGGGAAGAAGTATGGCTAATGTGAGAGCCTGAAACTATGGAAATGCTGCTAACATTTTTATATTGATAAACATTTTCTTGGTACTTCATTGTGATTTTTCATTAATCAACCATGTTAAATTTATAATAAAAAGTACCCCTCAAAAGTGTGCCTCTAAAGTCTTTTTCTAAAGTATCTACAAAATGTTTTCCTTTCAGAGTTTCCACAAAAGTAAAAGTTATGTTATTTGGCCATTTTTATCGGGTTCTTCCCTCTATATTTTACTACCCTCCCATGTTTGTGTAGAAGACACACATGAAGTAGAAAAGGACAGAGTGGCCCCCACACCCCAGTATTCAGAAATGCCCACTGTAAACACAGTCCTCTGACCAGAGGGTCTGTCCCCGGACCAGGACTGTTGTGAAAGGATAGATCTGGACCAGCTTGGCTCTTAAACTTAGGCAGATTGAGAGCCCAGGACCCAGCAGGGAAGTTCAGATCCTGTCTCCTGTCCTCGAGCCCAGAAGCGTCAGAGGAACCTCTGGTGCTTGCAGCTCTGTTTGGAATCCACCTTCTTCCCAGGAGCTGGGAAGGTAACAGATGAGGAACATGGGTCTCAGGTAAAGAGTCCACCTCTGATGTTTAAAACTGCCTCGTGCCTTTCATGTTCCCGCTTTTGATAGATTCAACAAAAAGTTGTCTTCTCCCAAGTTTATTTGCAAGAACGATAACAGCACAACACAGCACAAGTCAACACTGTGAGGACCAAACAGCCCCATCCTGGGAGAAGGGTCTCCTCTGAGGCCTGGCCCAGCCAAGCTGGGCAGTCCCAGGTAGGGCAAAGGTCCCAGGGTGGGGAGATAAATGCTGCATTTATCTGACAGGCAGAGCTGGCTACCTGGCTGCTGAATCCCAGAAGGAACAATTCCACTCCAAATGTACATGAAGCATTTGTTTCCTTTGCTTCCCTGCACATGAAGCATTTATTCACTACCTCAGTTGTCTTTGTTTTGTTTTCTGAGGCAGAGGCTTGCTGTATTGCACAAGCTGATCTTCAACTAGTGCTTAAGCAATTTTCCTGCCTCAGCCTCCTGAATAGCTGGGACTCCAGGTGTGCACCACCACCTCCAGCTTCACTACCTCAACTTCTTATGGACAGTTCCACTCAGGAAGGCTGCTCTGACAGCATTAAACTGGGTGATAAAAAATAGGAAATAAGCCAATTAGCTGAGTAAGACAAAATAGCTACTAAAAGGAACTGGAGAAGGGTTATTTGCCTACCTGATTAGGGGGAAAAAAAAAAAAACGGTGAGATTTAAAGAATATGGATAAGTGGGAAATGTAGCCCTGGTCTTGAACCAATTAGTTGTCACCTTCTGAAATATATTTTAGTTTTTATTATTGAAAGAACAACCAACCCTGCAGCTACTACTAGAAAGTGAGGCGGGGGGGCGGGGAGGGGGAATTGCCTTTTCCTCCATCACCCCTCTGCCATAAGGGAAATTTTAATTTCCCTTATTTTAGTTGGTCTTCAGAAACACCTGGAACTGGCCAGGCAGTTCCTGAAAAAAGTTGGGGTAGCCAACTGGTAACAGGACAGGGCAGTCCCAGGCTTCCTGGTCCTATCTCAGTCTCTTCCTATACAGTGGCTGTCAGCCTCTGTCCTCAATTGCAGTCTCATAAAAAGGAGGTTTATGCAAGAGGGTAAACTATGTAAACCATGGACCTCTGTCATTAATACTGCACTAACACTGGCTCATCCCATGTAACAAAAATACCACATCAGAGCATTCCACTGATAACAGACTGAGGCAAGGGGTGGAGGGAGGTTAACAATTGTATATATCCAGGAACTCTGTACTATCTGCTCAATTTTATGTAAACCTAAAGCTGCTCAAAAAAAATCCAAGTTTTTTTTTTTAATACACCTCTATAACCAATAAAAACAAATTTAACTCAGAAACAGTCTTCAGTAAACCTAGGAAGAAGATTCACAGAAGGAACACTGATAGCCGATTGAGAACTTGGGAAAAGTCTAGAAATAAAGGGAGAGAGCATTAGTCTGCCTGTTTCTACAAAGGACACATGAGGAATTAAAAATGATCTTAGGTAACCAGCAGTTCTCCATGTACGAGATCAAAACTACTGAAATAGCAAAAAGGATTTTGGACAGTAGGATGGAAACTTTTCTTGCCTTTTTCCAGATTTGCCATTTAGAGGTGAAACCAAATCTTGCATTTAGAGATTCTAAACTGTGAGTGGGAAGGGAAGGGGAAAGGAGGTCAAATGGAAGAAGGACTGAATGACCTCAAGGGCAGACAGCACAAAGTAACTGTGCTGTGGTCTTTGGTTGGCAGCAACCACAGCAGTACCTAGTGGGGTCAAGTTCAGTTCCAATTATGACTATCTTCAGACCCTTTTAAATTGCAGCAGGGAAATCACCTCACAAAATGTTCATTTTGTCATAATCCAGAGTTCCAAGAAATGCTCAAAAGTGCTAGGAATTATCTGTGCTGCTTTTATGGTTAAGGAACTATGATCACTTTCAGAAAACCTCTGTACTAGGAAGCTAAGCTAGGCCCCCCACCTGATGACTCATTTTCTTTCACTGGCGAACATTCAGAGTGCCTACTTTGCCAAGCACTGGCCAGCCACTGGAGATGGGAGTCAACAATCCAGGCCCCAGAATCCAGACATAGAAAGGATATGACAGAACACTGCCATCCTAAGGCTACTTCTGTGGAAAGCAGGAGCCCTGGGGAAAGGCTGACAAGTGGCCTGGGGAGGACAGGGAAGTTTTCAGAGCAAAGGTGGGAAAGGCGCATGGAGGGCAGGCATTCAGTTTTGTAGCCTTTGGATGCTTATGGAATGTTCCAGGAGGGATTCTGCCAGGCAGTTTGAAATAAAGTCCAGGGCTCAGGACGCAGTTCTCAGATGGAGACAGCTTCGGGAAGACCTGTCCAGGAGCCAGATGGGAGCAATCATGACCAAAAACAGAGTAGAGTGATGTGTGAGACTCACCAGGAAAACGTGTCAAAGCGCACACTCCCCTCGATGCAGCACCTTTAAGACTGGGACATAGGACATAGATGGACAAGCCAAATCTCTGTAGCAAGATGGTAGGGGCCAACTCCAGCTTCAGAGCGTACACAACAATGGACACTGTCCTGTTCATGTGTCTGAACTACACTTGGCAACCACTCCCATCTCTACACCTTATTTCATTTCACCACACAAGTGTGTACTGGACTAGTCTTTTAGGAGGAATGAACTAGGCCTGCTGGAGTGAGTTCCTCTCAGGAGAGTGGTGCCACCCAGCCCGGGAGGGGAGGCTTGGCTGAGCCCAACACTTGTTTATGACTCTCCCCCTAACCTAGTGCATCCACCTGCCTTTATCAATGGCAAAGATGTTTTTGGCCTCCATCCACAGTTCCCCTTCCCCTAATTGATAATTTGCAATACCACAGTGAGGAAGAACAAGGCTTTCTGCTCCTGGGCTTACCCTCATTACATGCCTTCTGCTTCCTAAGCATATCAGCTTCTGTGAGCAAAGGCAGATACAATGTGCCAAAGCTCCTCACACAGATACAGTCTAGAACCAGGACACACCATTAGAGAAGGCAAGGCCAGAACCTGAACGCCAACATCTAAGTGAGACCAAAAGGGAGTTCTTCCCCTTACAGAACCAGCAGAACGTGCACACTCAAGAGGCTGCAGTTTTAACTGAAGGATGGTCTGCCACATAGAAAACAGAGCTGTCCTCACACACATGCAGATGACGACACTTGAGCAACTCAGAAATAGAAAACAGAGCTGTCCTCACACACATGCAGATGACGACACTTGAGCAACTCAGAAATGGCTCCAGCTCTTTCTTAGCTTCCTATCCAAGGTTCTAGAACCTGAGGTTCATTCAGCCAAGCAGTAGTGAGCTTCCAAGAACATTTAGTGCCCAAATGAACTTTGAGACATTTGTCATCTTTCTCTGTCCCTTTGGCAGATACTTGGAATGTGGTAATGGATGAGCAATGGACTATGATGCCTTCCTGGTCACTTGCAGATGCAATTAGTATTTATATTGTCATGTGTTAACTTTATCCCCTATGACAAAATAAAAAAACTCTTTTAAAAACCTTATGTTTATTAGTTGCTCATGAAAAGTACCACCAATACATTTATCTAACTCTCCAAGAGTAGCAAGTAGGAGGAAGTGGTGTTTTCTGCCTTCACCAATGCCATGCAACCTTGTCCCTTCAGACAGCTGGAACTCACCGTTGGTTAGACCTGCTGCCTGCTGTGCTGCCACAGGGCCTCTGCCTTTTAAACAACTCAGACGAGGTTTTTTTTCCTAATTATAGAAATAATAAATTCACTTTAGAAAACTGGAAAGTAAAAACATAATGAATATTAACATTCTGGAACAGTTTTCCCCCATATTTGCATATACATTTTTTTAAAATAGAGATTTTCTTTACCTTGCTTTTCCTATTTAACTTTATACTGAGCATTTCAGAAACATGACTTGCGATGGCTGAATACTACTTCATTTATTTAACCACGGTCCTACTGATGCACATTTCATTATTGACGTTTCACTGTTACAAAGAACAATGTAGCAAGAAACTGCACATAAATCTGCACATCTTGATTTCCTCAGGGTAAATTCCTGAGAAGTGGAGGCACTGAGTCAAACAGCCTATTTGATGTTAAAGACACACACAGTAGAAAGTCAGCTTTCTGCTCCCAAGTGCCAAGCTTACAGCTGTGAAGAAAGCCAAAATAAGTCATCTTGAGGATAAGACTCAAAAGCCCAGACTGAGGGTCCTAGCAGTGTCCTGAATGATCAACTTAAAACATGAAGTGCAATGAATGCACTGCATGGGAGTTACACAGCTACACCAGGAAGGTGGAATGGGAGAGGAGAAGCATGGAGAGAGAGCTGGGGTGGGGCAGGTGGGGTTGTGGAGTAGCATCCGTGAGTAGTGTGGGCCTTTCTCGCAGGCAGAAGGGAGTCATGAGAAGCCGCAAGAAGCATTCTGCACTGGCATACTTCTCATGCTTTCCTTTCTGGACTACCAGGTTGATTCTTGCAGTTACTGTTGTGAGTAGTAGTTTATTTTGTGTAAAGTGGCCAGCATAGTGCCTGTACATAAGCTCATTTGCTTTCCTTTCTACCACAACTCACTGGTTCCCTCAGTGACAAGGGAACTCAGCACATGCTCAGCTAGCCACAACCCAATAAAGTCACTGAATAAAGGCTGGTCTTAAACTACTTACGTTTAATTTGGATTCCCGTATCAACACACGAAATTTGGCTCTGTGGGTCTGCTACATCAATTAAATCACTTAAACAGCATAAGGGAAAAATAAAAACATAGCAATCCCCTTCTCATCTAATTTAGGTCATAAACACACCCAGCCTCAACAGACAAATAACTAAAAACTTCCCCCAGCCCCATAATCTCTATCCTTACCCACACTGGACTGAACAGAGCTGCCCTGTAGGACAGTCCTTGCACACAGAGCAGCTGGCTTCCAGCTAGCAGGGCTCATTCCTCCACCCCACACTGTGCTCAAAGTCCAGTGTGCAGCAAGGCATCCCACCTGAGCATCCCATCCATACATTGCATTTGCAGGACTCTCCAGTAAAACAAAGGGTTAAATAGTCTGGGTGTTAACAAAACAGAACTAGTTTATGGTTTACCCCTTTTCCTGTTTTATGTTATCTCCCACAAACACAATACTAGAGATAGAACAAAATTATATCATGTTATTGGGATCACAGATACTTTCCAACATCACTGATTCAAGTTATTACCCTGTTACCCACAATTTAGGTAAAGGATATTGTCTAGTAAAGTTAAAACATGCTTTGGTGGTTGTAAGGGAATTGATGGAACACTGGAATTTTCCAAAAAGCAAATGTTTTAAAGACAACCCAATTGGAAGCAGCAAGAAGTCTGAATAGATGAATCAGAACTATGAATGGTTGGTAAACATGAAAACAAAATGCAAATTAAAACAATATACAACTTTTTGCCTCTAAAAGTGATAAAAATTTGAGTCTGTTAATAGTATTATTGAAGTAAGGAAATGTACATTCAAACAGCTTTGATAGAAGTACATATACAGATACACACAATTTTTAAGGGCAAGTTTGTACTACCTGTCAAATGTATATGCCTACAACTCAGTAATCTCACTTGTAGAAGTCTATCACACAGAATTACACTGTCCAATACAACAGCCACTAGCTACATGTGGCTATTTAACTAAGCAAAATCAAGGAGCCCATGATGCACTTTGAGCGCTCATGAGCCACATGTGCCTCGTGCCTGCCATACACTGAGGGTGGCTGTGGATCACTCACCATCCAGAAGACTCTATGGAAACACCCAGAGCAACGAATGGTACTTAGTGCTACACTGGTTTTGAAGCACAAAAGGGAAATATAGTTCAATTACGTCATGCTTACACTGAAGCACGCAAATAAAAAGTATGAGACAAACATATGAAAGTCTGGTAACACTCAGTGTTACTGAGGATGTAGGGAAATTCAAACACCATTGGTAGAAATATGAACAACCAGAAAGAGAACTCTAATATAATGTTAACTTTTAAAGCATACTGCAAAACAAGATATGCACCTTTAACATTTTACAGGGTGGGAGAGAGAGGTGGCACAAACAATGCATACACATGTAAGTAAATGTAAAAATGATAAAAGAAAAGAAAATTCATAGAAAAGAATAAGCATTTTACATACAGCTATCTTTGAAATCTCTAAAGACTAAAAAATACCTGCAAGGATATATGGCAAGCTCTTAGTGGTAGTGAAAGGAATGGAAAGAATGGGAATTTTCACTTTTAATTTCCTTCTAAGCTGTCTGAATTTGTTACAACCTTCATATCTTACTTCTGTATTCAAAAAATGATTTTTAAAAGGGGTCCTACTCTTAGAAAGATGATCTCAGTAAGTACGGGCAAGAGTCCAGTTGCTTCTTTTCGGAGGTGGTGCCTCCGGTTATGTTTCGGAAACCTTGGAGAGGTACAGACGCATCCTCTGCCAGACAAGGCCTCACCCTATCTACACCTCTGCCTTTCCCCATCTCCCGCAATTACATTCTTCTCTTTGCCCATCTCTTCACCCACTCACACCCTAGCGTGCCTTCTCAGCAGCTTTAAGACATTACCAACATGATAATCCCTCACACAGCGCTATAGGAAGCCAGTTCCTCAACAAAGAAGCTTCTCCCCAGCAAACCAAAGCCACTGCTTCATCCCTCGGGGATGGAGTGAGGACAGAAGTGCAATACACAAGCAATAGCACAGATACTTTGGACATAACGCTTTAGGCACAAACCCCATCTATGAAAGTATTTTCAAAACAAATCACATCAAATGTAAGAAAACTACCACTAGTAAATCGGATAAGCAAGTATGTTCCAAATGTGATGTTTTTTTTTTTATTTTACTCTGATGCAAAACCAAAGATTCCACTACAGCACAGAGACCAATATATTAAAAGGTCATGAAAAAGTGGTGTGGGACATGCAGGACGTGATGTACAAACTGAAAGGTCGGGTCATTTTCTTCAACATGACGCTACATTGTCGCTGAGGAACACGTTGAAATTAACACTGCAGAACTCAACTGAAATGCGGCACAAATATGACAACTTTCAGGCATGCCTTCAAGGACCTCCCTTATGGACTTGTAATCTCTAGACTTCAGTGTGGGGAGGATTACAATTCTTTGGAAGAGTAAAAAGTTCACACTTTTGAAATTTCACAGAAGAATTTTAAGGCCAAAACATAGTGGGTTCATTTCTCTTCACTTGTAGGGACAAATCTGATGCTTTACTTAAAATTGTTTTAAGCTTCCAGTTCAAATCCCAACCCAACCTTGTGCCCTCCTGCATTGAAGTTCTTCCCATCGATTAAAGCTGACAGGGTCAGTTTGACTCCTAGAAAGAAGAAAACACCAATTACTTGTAATCAGTATTACAATCAGACTTAAATTCTCTAGCAGTAATGGTTACAGTCAATGGCTGGGTATAAGCTCCACTAAATCAGTAGAGGATTGTCTGTTATCCTCTGGTCTGTAATGAGTAAAGGATGGTTCAAAAAACATTAGTTGGAGGTCAGGATTAAGAACAAGTGATCAGCCAAACTCAAAGGCCAAAGTAACCAAATCTTGCTTATAGATATACAAATACTTTCTAAGTGAAAGTACTTGACCTGTTTACTTTCTGTCTGAATAACCAGCAGTTATGAAATGGTATGGATCAAGCTACAATGATTATCAAAAACTGTTCTGTAAGTTATTCTTACTATTCTTCTATCACTTTCTACCCTTGCCCCTTACATACCTGGTCGAAGGGTCTGAGTGTAACCCAGTCCAATTAGGCTGGCGTTATTTACTTTAGCCTAAGATTAAGAGATGGAACAGAAACAGAGAATAATCAATTTCATAACATGTAAGTCCAATGTAATCACTGCTTTACGTATGTTTCCAAAGTAAAAGCACTTCAGGCCAATCTAGAATTATTGGAAGGGAAAGTTGAACAGAGTAAAAAATGATAAATATTTTAACAAGTCAATAGGACTAGTAAAAAGGATGAGAACTTAGAATGTATGCTTAACGGCCTTGAGCACAATTTTTAAGCACTTTTGCAAACATCCCTCTGTACTGAATTTTTTCAGATGCCATTTTCCAACCTCTGATAGTGGTTACAATGTGAACTCTTATGTCAGAAAAACAGTTCTGGGTTCAAATCTTGGCTCTACTACTTACTGTGATCTTGACCTAGTTTCTAGGCCTCAGTTTCCTCATCTGTAAAATGGGAATAGGATAATACTCTTCACCACACAGAACAGTGGTGAGGATTAAATGAGATAATAGATAAAGCCTTAGCACAATACCTGATACTTAAGAAAATTTCTGTTAATATTAGTAATAATTACTAATAGTGCCAGGAGCAATGGCTCATGCTTATAATCCCAGTTACTCCAGAGGAGAAAATCAGAAGAATTATAGTTCAAGACCAGCCCAGCAAAAAAGTTCAAGAGACTTCATTTCAACCAACAAAGAGCTGGTATGTGCTGTAATCCCAGCTACATGAGAAGCATGGGTATCAAAGATGGATTCTATTAAAAATATAACTAAAAACAAAAAAGTGGGGGTGTGGTTCAAGTGGCAGAGTACTTGCTAGCAAGTACAAGGCTCTGAGTTCACACCTCAGTACTGCCAAAAAAAGAGAAAAAAGAAAAAAAGAGAATTACTAATAGTAATAGGAATAATAATCCAATCCCATGAATTTACAGATAAGAAAATGCTGAGGTCAAAGAGATAAAAGAACTTCAAAAGGTCAGCAACTGCCAAATAGAAGAGGAACTAGGGCAGAACCTACATTTTCTGCTTTCAGTATACAAGGAGCTAGTCATTGAAGTTAATGATGAGCCTGCAGACTACAAACACATCACATTCATTTACAGCTGGGATGAAACCTAAGAACAGATCGAATCTGGCAGCACATTCTTACAGATAGAGAAGTTCTACAATCCAGTTTGTATTTAGCAGCAATGCCAAAACGGGTGTTGTTGCTACCAGCCGTCCACGCAAGGTTTATTGACGTTTCAATCTTCTCATTAACTTTCTGGTAGATAGAGCCTCCAAATTCTGTGCCGTCATTCCTGTTTTCATAGTATAAGAAAAGGTCTTAAATATTAGTTTGTATAATTCATTGTTGTGACATGGAAACAAGTTCTAAGATTATCTAAATATGGATCTCATTTAAGATTTAAGTAAATTTCTAACATATATGATTACTAAATAAGCAATAAAATTCAGCTATGCAATTTATAAGTGCCTAATTAAAACATGATAACGCTTCACTCATTTATTCAGCTCCTCCACACAATGAAATTTCTTAGACACAATTTAATTATGCAGACATGGCAGGAAAATAGATAGGATCTATAGGTCTCTTTCATAGAATTAAAAACACTTGAAGTATTTCAAGTGTTTACTTGAATTCAGTAAAGATTCTGTAAAAATAGAGAGAGAGGTATAGGAATGAAGGCAATGCTGGACTTTATTTAAAACACACCCCCAGAGTGAGGCAGCAACTTCCCTGTAATACCCAGGGACACTGCTCCAGAGGAGTGCCTCTGAGGTACCCATGGTTTTCCTGGTAACAGCATTTCATCAATTTCAATACCACTGTCATGCCACTGCTTGACTTTGTTTTAGCCATCATAAGTGAATTAATATCCAGAGAAGAACAATCTGCAACACTTCAAAACACAAAGCTCACTCTTTGCTTTTGCTTACTGGTACAGTAGCAGCATCCACTCAACCAAGTGATAAAATTTTAAAGTTCAGATTCATTCAGCCAACAGGGTGCAGCCTGCATACTGAAATCCAGGGTTACCTTGATGACTTCTGTTACTGCTATTTGTTTATTTTTTTGTGGGATGGGAGTTTGAACCAAGGGCTTTGCATTTGTAAAGCAGGTGCTCTACCACTTGAAACACAGCTCCAGTCTATTATGCTCTGGTTATTTCGGAGATGGGGTCTAGTGAACTATTTGCCCAGGTCTGGCCTTGAACTGTGATCCTCTCAATTTCAGCCTCCCAAGTAGCTAGGATGACAAGTGTGAACCATGTCTGGCTCTCCTGTTACTTCTGAAAGTAATAGGGAGTTAGGTTCTACCAAGGATACCTGAAAACCTCCACAGAATTACTGGAGATGTGAGATGCTCAAATCAATTTGGTGGTTGTTTTTAGTGGTGCACACCTGCTTCCAGATATGGCAAACATTAGTAGGGTACAAGATGAAGCAGAGCATCACCAAAAAGTCTCTTTTACCAGGGGTGTAATAAAAGCTCTGGGGTGTCTTCATCCCAGTGGTTCTTCTACACAGTTAGAGCTTCCTAATGTTTTGGGGAAGGCAGAGAGCAGAAATGACCAGGAGCACAGCAGGGTGCACTCAATGCAGGAGTCTCCTGACAATGCTTTGCTGACTATGAAAACAGCAAAGCAAGACTGGGTATCCAGCAATGCACATCACCATCACTTCTAACCTTCTCAACATGCTAATGACTACCACCTTTGAAAGGTTGCACTGGCACTAAAGGAATGACTTATAAATACTCACACATGAGTATGCAGCTGGAAGTCTGCAGCCTTGTAACCCAGGGCAAAATTATTCTGAGACAGTTTGGATTTGGCTGTGTCGAAACTCATCTGATAGCCAGCGAGCCAACCTTCAAAGGCTAACACAGCCCAGCCATAGATGGTTGGTCCAGAAAAATCTATATCAACATTACTGCCAAGACTGAAACAATCATGTTTATAGGAGGCCTTCAATTTCCCGCTCTTCTTTCTGTAAAAAAATAAACAAACAAAACAACACAATGAAAACAGTATGTATTTGTACTATTGTCCAAGAATCTTTACAGTAACACCTTCTATCTACCAATGTAAATATTATTTTGGTAGATATCATATATATATATGATCAAAATGTTTCAAATGACTTAACTCTACAAATAAAAGTTTATTAAGATTAGAAATGTATATACTATTATTTATTCCTCACTATGAATGCAAATAATAAGGTATTTCATGAAGGCATGAACAAAAATATAAGGAGAAAGATTGGTCAATAGGTACTAAGTTATGGTTAGGAAAACTAAGTTCTAATGTTCTATTGCACTGTAGGGTGGCTCTAGAGTCATTATATAAAGAAAAGGTACTGCATATATCAAAAAGGCTACGAGAAAGGATTTTGAATGCTTTTGCCACAAAGAAATGATAAATGTTTGAGATAAATATGATTACCTTGATTTGAACATCATACAATGTATATACATATTGAAACACAACAAATACCCCTGCAAAAATGTATTTTTGTCAAATAAAAATGTTTTTATAAAAATTTTTAAATTTTTATTATAAGAAGGAATAAGATATTTCAATACAAATTAATACTCTGAAAACATATGTTTATAGAAGTTTAAGAAGTCAAATCTATTTAAATGTTTCCAGATGCCATACAAAGTAACATCCAACATTATTAACCTATCATGGAGAACACACAAAATTAGTTCTTAATAGTCCTTGTCTATTTCAATCAAGCATCCTATGCGAATATTTATTCTAAAGATAACTAAGGAGTGTGACAGGAAGGACACACCTGTTGTTACAGTAAAGAAGAAATTCTACTTGCATTTATCTAGTCTCTCTGTCCTTCTGATAGCAAGGCCCCATGTCAGACAGATAGGAAATGACCCAATCCCTATTTTTCAGAGGTGGGGAATTTCCAGAGGTTAAGAAACACAGTTGGCAGCAGAACTACACAGTGTTTTACAGTCAGTAGATTCCACTCCTAAGAAACTACCTTCTCACCAGAATGCCATCTCTCTCAATCTTTAGAAAAACTTAGAATATAGCTATGATCTCAGGTCCTTCTAGCTTCTAAACTTTCCTATAATGTGCCTCTCTGGAATAGATTCATAAATTTTTGTGCATTTGTTTGATCTTCAAATGAAAATATTATCTTTCCTTGAGGGGATTCTCCTTCATCTTTACATACACAGGTCTCTAATATTCCTAACAGCAACCTCTTATTTTTTTCCTGCCTGTAAACTTTTCATTGCAACTCTCTGTTCTAAAGCTCTAAGATTTCAAAAAAAATTTCAGAAAATAGGGTTTGAATAATTACCCTGTGTTCGGTACAAATATGGTATCAAGAGTCAGTTTCAACCCTTCAGCCAACTGAAAAACAAAGATTTTAAATTAACAATTAGTAATTTTCAATTCTTTATTTGACTTAAAAAAAACAATTCTTTAACAAAAAAGGATATCATTAAAGAAAGCCAGATATTAACTTATATAATAAATTATCTCCCATCTTTCCCTGTCCCCTTAACTCCTCTCCTCTTTTTTTTTTTAACTCCTCTCCTCTTATCCCCAGTCTTCCTCATGGTTCTCCCATCAAAAAATAGATTAAGCTAGGCAGAGTGGTCCCCCTGTGGTCCCAGCTACTCAGGAGGCTGTGGCAGGAGAATTCCTTAACCCCAGTAGTTCAAGGTAAACCTGGGTGACACAGACTCCATTTTAGAAGCAAAAAAAGGTTAAAATGTGTATGTCACATCCTATTACAACAATAACACAAACTACAGTGCAAAAATAACAGAAGTCCACAGAACAAAATAATCTTGCTATTCTCTTGAAATTACTGTAACAAGCAACTTCATTACTTATTCACTTGAACCTGTTCATCACTCATCTACGCCAATGTGCATACAGACACATCTTCAAAAATGTCACCCTGTACATAGTGGGCACCTGGCAAATATCTGCTGATATATTTTCTCCCTGAAGATATTAAAGAATTTGAGAGAGATTTTTCTGTAGAGCCAATTTTGCAGTGATTACAAAACTGAACTAAATTACTACAAATAGTTTGTTCTACTCAGGAGAGGTTCAACTGAATAGCAGAATAAACAGAACTCGTCAGAACAAAGATAACGTAACAGAGTACTCACAAACAAAGACGTATTTTCTAGAAATGTAGACATAAAAAAGGCCACACAAAGAAAAAAAATACAGCTAGGTATCTCATTCAGATGGTTCATCTTTCAATGTGCAAGAGAACTGAACCCACAGATAATTTGTAATGCTTTCTCTTACCTTATTTTCCAAAGAGATTTCTGTCCCAAGAGTATTATCTGTGTTCCACTTTTGGGTGAAGGTAAGTCCATAGTTACAGACCTTGTATTTGGTCTCTAGGTTGCCTGATGCTTTCCCTGTATCAGTATAAGCATGTCCTGAAGTAGAAAACTCCTAGTAAACAAGAAAAAAATAGTAATAATTACTTTAAAATCATCTCAACAGGACTAGAGGTACAGTTCAAGTGGTAGAATGTCTGCTTTGCAAGTGCAAAGTCCTGAGTTTAAACCCCAGTACTGCCAAAAAAAAAAATTACCTCATCAAATAGAAAACACTCATTTCAGAAAGTTGTGTACGGTGTGTCAGAAAACAATACAATTTACTTTTACCATAGCCCTACTCTATGCAATGCACTTTCTGCTTTCCTTCTGTCTTTCCAATGTCTAAATATTTTAACCAGTTTTAGATCTTTCCATAACTCCACCCTTCTTATTGACATTTATTGTTCCATGTGCTCTTTCTAAATGGACAGTTTAAATTCTCTCCTTTAAAATAAAAATATCTTTAATGAAAATAAATGCTTTATTAAAAAGATAAAAATAAAAGTATTTTACTTCATGGCCTATAGATGATCAGTTCTCTGTAATACTTTCCAAACTGTTAGTAAATTTAGAGGTCCTTAAAAACTTCCAAACACTATCTTCTACCCCCTTTTAATAGGGTCAGCACTTTACTGCTTTTTTTTTCTTTTAAATCAATGCTGGAGATTGAACCTGGGGCCTTTCATGCAGTAGGCAAGTACCATGTCACTAAGCCACATCACCAGCCCAAAAGTGAATTTTTTAAAATGTAGCAGGCTGAGGGTGTAGCTCAGGTGGTTACAGTACTCGCACAGTATATACAAAGCCTGGGTTCAATCCCCAGCACCACACACACACAAAAAAAGTATTTTATTGTGGAAAAATACATTTAACATCATTTACTACTTAATAATTTTCAAGTCATAGTGAAATGACATTAAGTACATTTACATTGCTGTGAAAATATTACTGCTTTGTCCATGAAATTTTCTGTAAAAATTTCAACATAAACAATTTCAATATTTGAAATGATCTACCCATTTTTCACAATAAAATGGAATGCTATAATTTATTTCTCTTCCCTCCTCCTCCATCCTGTCTACTTAAAATGTCCTTTTAGTCATAAGACAATAAGCAATTAGAAATTGACTTTCCCAAAAAGGGAGAAGCAAACAGTAAGCACCTGTCACTGACAATCTATAACTGTCAAGAAAAATCATGCTGACTGGCCCTGTTTTCAAGGAGCATTTCTGAAAGGCTGCCAACCCTGGTCAGTTCTGTCTCACTGCCTGCAATATGAATCCTTGCTTTAACAAACACCCTGCCCCCAACTCTAGCTTCACAGGCAGTGAAACTGGGAAACCGTGAGCTGTTTATCAGCACCACACAGAAAGCATTCAAAGGAGTATCATGCTGCACACTTAGGGCAAGGTCTCAGTAAAAAGTGATAAAATGTTAGTCGTGTTTAACACTTCATGCACTTCTTCAATGCTTCATTCTATTTCACAATTAAATTAAATAAGTGACATGCATATATCATCTTCAGCTCTACATTAAATATTAGTAAGCAAAAAAACAAAAATGTTACTGTTAAATAGATGGCATATGATAAAAAATAACAAGATACAATCTAAGAAATATGGAACAGTGAATAAAATTTATATTAAATCAATACCAGAAATCAAAAGCAACCATAAAAGCAAGGACATTGGTAAGTTTTTTTTCCTTACCATCTGAATTAATATTACCATACCACAGCAGCATGAAAGGGAGAGAAAATTTTAGTTGATTTTTGCAACACAACTTATATAAATTTTAAAACCTATACATAATGCATATCATTTTTCTGTTTTAACAGAAACCTATATACAATATACCCACTGCAACAAGGCAGATGCATATATGTATTCATTTATGCTAGCAAAACCCAAAGAATGATAGTGGCAAACCAATGCTAAAACAGAGTACAATACAAAATAGGAATTCCACATGCCTTTTGTCCTTCTAATTGTATCACTATATTTGAATAGGTAAATATCGACAAAAGATGTAGCCTGCAAGGAAAAATCTTAATATAAGGTGAATTAAAAGTTAATCTATTTGCTGAGATTTGTGAATAAAAGCTCTGGTTAATGATGTTTTTAAAATATATCAACATATCCTTTACTATATTCTTCGCATTCAGCAAACAAAACAAAACAAAACTGGAAGTGAAGACTATTATTTAAAACTATAGAATAATCTATATGCACACATGTCCATATTTGTAGTAAAAAAGACTGGAAGTTAAAAATATCAGTTAAAAACTGCAAAATAATCTTTTAAATACATGCATGTACAAATACATATTTCCACATTTTGTTTAATGATGAAGGGCCAGAAATTAAAATTAATTTGTTTTTGTAAAAAGGCAATAAAACATACATGAACCCATTATAATGAAAGTAACATTTTTTTAGTACCCATATACACTCTCATGAAATATGACAGGGCAAATACAAACTCTGAATCTTCTTTTCTGTATTTATGTCTATTAATTCACAAACTGAGGGGTTTCATTAATACTCTATCACTTCTAAGAGTAAAATGCAGAATATTCTTACCCTGACAAATACAAACGTGTGTCCCTCAAAATTCAACCTGATTGTCTATAGGTTTCACTGGCTCATTGAAATCTGAGAACAGGACGAAGCCATAGGGGAGATAGAATAGTATCAAAAGTCTGCTTTCACATAACCAGAGTAACCAGTGATTTTAACAAGTTCCTTTAGGTTAATTATGCTACAGCTATTAAAAATATATTAGGTACTCACCACTCCACTACAAGACTTGGTTCTCAGATCTATTTTGACCATGCCAAATCCTAGACACACACAAAAACAAAGTAATGCACAAAATGGAACATTTGCTCATTCTTTCAGCTGAAAAATTATGAAAATAGTACATAGTACCATCACATGGCGTTCTTGTTAGGTAAGAGTTCCACACGAAACTGAATTATCCTAAATGAGTAAAATTTTAAAGCCCTTCAAAATGAATAAAGACATATTTTTAAAATATAAGTTAAAGGGCCTGGTGGAATTGCTCAAGTGGTAGAACACCTGCCTAGCAAGCATGAGGCCCTGAGTTCAAACCCTAGTACCACCAAAAAATAAATAAAAAATAAAATACAACTTAAAGAACAAGTAAAAAGAATATGCACTATATTCCAAGAAAATTACCAGAAAATATTATGCTGATATATATAATATTTTTATATATACACACAAAAGTAAAATACGATTAATATTAGTACTAAGAAAAAAATCAAATGTGTATAGCACAAAAAATTTAAATCTTAAATTTTAAAACCTAAAAGTAAATGTCTATTTGGAATCAGAGAATATATATTACTCCAAAGAAGTCAAACTTGTATCTTCACTTTTTTTTTGGTGGTACCAGGGCTTGAACTCAGGGCTTCACACTTGCCAAACTGGTGCTCTACTGCTTGAGCAATACCTCCAGCCCTTTTTGGTCTGGTTATTTTGGACATAGGGTCTTGCTTTTAGTCCAGGCCAACCTGGACCACGATCCTCCTATTTTAAGCTTCCCACCATAGCTGGGATGACAGGCACATGCCACCTCACACAGCTTTTTTCCCCCTTGAGATTGCAGGTCTCACAAATTATTTGCCCAGGCTAGCCTTGAACCATGATTCTCCTGCTCTTTGACTCTCAAAAGTAGCTAGGAATATAGGTGTGAGCCACCAGTGCCTGGCTTGTATCTTCACTCTCATTAAAAAAAAAAAAAATCCTTATATGTGGGGGGGTGGGGGCAGGAATACTTTAACTGTCCCCAGGACAGTCAAAGGAGGCATAAATATTGTAGGTGTATAAAATTTCTTCATATTACAGATATTAAATATGTATATGTATGTAACTGCTTTTAATGCTTGTAAGGGACTCTAATTCTAAAGATGAAATCTAATAGCCTGTTAACAGTTATCCCTTAAATCTTTTGAAGCAGATTAATGCTGACTTACTCTCACTTCACTAGCATGATATCTTACACAAAGTAGGCCATCACCACTAACCCTTACCCAAACCTGGAAATTTACCATAGCATACTTGCCATCACCACTAACCCTTACCCAAACCTGGAAATTTACCATAGCATACTTACCATATCCCTTGTTGAAAACATCCTTGGCAGCCTTTCCTAGGTCACAATAAGTCGGTGTGTTACACATATCTTATAAAGAAAAATGAGGACAAAGGAATAACCATTTAGTATGTATTCATTCATAGTTCTTCCACTCTTTCATCCTGTGAGGTATATGGTTTTTCTTCCTTCACATCAATAATGTTTATATTCTAATGCAATCAAAGTCCAAAGAAAGCATTCTGATCCTGAAAAAGGAGCTTTCCAGAACACCAGAAAGTGTTTTCTCATGAGATTCACAGAGGTCATCTTTCTGATTGCATTTCAAAGAAAAGAAGTCCTCAAAGGCTGAATGAGATTTCTTTTTTTAAAAAGTATGCAAAATTTACTTTGGAAAAACCTTTGCTATATAGTCAAAAAAGCTATAAGGTGACAAAATAAAAATTTTTTTTTTCCAGTACTGGGATCTGGACCTTATGCTTGCTAGGCAGGCACACTACCACTTCAGCCACTCTACAAGCCCTAAAATTGTGAAGGAATTATAAGCCTACATGCTTATGATGCTTTTTTTCTTTTGTAGTACTGGGGTTTGAACTCAAGGCCTCACAGTTGCCAGACAGTGGCTCTACCACTGTCCTTTTTTGCGTTGGGTACTTTCGAGATAGGGTCTCACAAACTATTAGCCAGGGCCTGGCTTCTAAACATGATCTTTCTGATCTCTGCCTCCTGAGTAGCTAGGATTATAGGGGTGAGCCACCAGCACCTGGCCTGCAATCAAAATTTTGATTTTTTGGTAAGCAGATTACTGCAGATAAAGTAATCTTTGGGGTTGGAAATGCAGCTTTGTGGTAGAGTGCCTGCTTAGCCTACAATTCCCAGCACCATAAGCCACATACACTAGTGCACACCTGTAATCAAGAAGCTGAGGCAGGAGAATCACAAGCCTAGGAAACTTATCAAGACTATCTCAAAAAAAAGAAAAAGTCCTCCTGAAATTCATTTCTTAAAATAAGAATCATTATATTGAGCTGGACATGATGGCGTATGTCTGTAATCCTACCATTTGGGAGGCAGAGGCAGGAGGATCAAGAGTTCAAAGCATGCCTGAGCTGCAATAAGTGAAGCACTGCCTCAAAAAAAAAAAAAAATCACCATTTTCACTGAAATGTTCACCAAGAGTATGCGCTCTCAAAACTCTTTTTAAGATGTTATAATTTAACCCATTAACCAGAAAACAAGACAAATTCTACCTGCAGTAATCTGCTTATCAAAAATTGGTCTGAACTCTGAAGTTAGTCTTTGAAAACCAAGGTTTGCCTTGAGTTTGCATCTTGCCTAATCAGTACTCTCCTGCCCATGTGGTGCTCACATCAAATTCTCCAAAGCTACCAGTACTACTCAACCTCCCATGCCTTTGCCCTCTTTTCCTGCAGCAGGTCCCCTGCGTCCCTGACTAACCAACTGCAGAACCATCTCAAGCAGTCCTTTGGCAGGATTTTACTGTACCAGAAAAATCCAGAGTACCAGCTAGCCCTTGCAATTATGAATACCTGAACCATCTACATATTCAAGCTATCCAAGTAAATAAATAAGTTATTTGTTTATATTATCCTAGCTCTTTTTCTTTTTTTTCAGTACTGGGGTTTGAACTCAGGACCCACAACTTAAGCCACTCTGCCAGCCCTTTTTTTGTGAAGGGTTTTTTCAAGAAAGGGTCTCGCAAACTATTTGCCTGGGCTGGCTTCGAACCACAACCTTCCTGATCTCTTCCTCCTGAGTAGCTAGGATTACAGTTGCATGAACAACTGGCACCTGGCTCTAGTCCAGCTCTTAATCTGGATTTCTGCTGTTTCTGGCTATAAATGAACACACACCTATGACGCACTTCTTAACTGGGAATTCATTAAAAATTCGTTTCTTACCCTAAACCTGTCACACATGAGAGACATTATGATACAAAGTTAAGAGGAAAGTGGACTAGGGATGCAAATCAGTGGTAAAGCTCTTGCCCAGCATGCAGGAGACCCTGGGTTTGATTTCTCAGCAGGGAGAGGGAGGGAGGGAAACACAGTAAAATAAAAGAGTGTTATGGATGCATTGACTCAAACCATAATAAAACGCTGCTCTAACCTACAGGATTTCATAGTTCACCTGGAGAGCAATTATTTTACAATTCAATCCTTTCTGCTCAAATGGTCAATATTTTTTACATATTCTCATTTCCAATTTGATCACAATTGATGCTGCATATGTTGAAATTGTGCCAGAAGTCTACAATCTGAGAGGTAGAGATGCAGGCAGTACATATTTAAATAGAAATGTTTAAAGCTTTAGCCTGTTTTTCATACTGACACTACAGAAGCTCTACACATACATCTTCTAGCATTTTACTTTGTTATTTTGCAAAACCAGTACCTGATTGTTTGCAAAGCTGGTTTAGTTTACTAACTGATGTCACCTATATCCGGTCCAGCGTTACTTTTTCAGGCCCATGATTCTGTCTAGAGATGCACTACTGGCATGATCAAGCAAAATCGAGGCGGCACGGGACACACTTTTACTGTCACACGTTTCCATTAGCGCTGGGGAATGCACCGTGTAGCAGATTGCATAGACGCACACAGGAAAACCGACGAGATCTGGGTAGAGCCGCTTCCCCAACCCCTGACTTGACAGCAGAGAAGCAAGCACCCTTTGTCCCCGGTTCCTGAGGTTCAAGATGCACGTCCAGCATCCTCCCTCGGCCACCAGGAGCGGAGAGGAAACACGCCGCTGCTGGCTGCCGACCCAGAGTGGTCAATACTAATAGGAGGGAGTGGGTCTGGCGCTCTCCCGGCACCCAGCCTTCCCGGAGGCCGCCTCCTTCCCGCCTGACACCCCGGAAGCCAGCTGTGCCGGTGCCCGGCGGGGAGTCGGTGGGTGCGGTGCCGCGGCCCCGCCCCAGGGCGGCGGGCAGCAAGGTCCCGCAGGGGCTAGTGTCCCGCTACCCGGCCTCGCGGCGCCGTCCCGCGCCCCGTTAATCTCGCCTCCCCGGCCTCCGTTGGCCCGGCCCCGTCGGTCACCTTTCCCGGAGCCCCCTCAGCCAGCCCAGCCCGAGGCTACGGCCCTCCTCACCTACAACCTGAGGGCCCGGCCCGCTCCGCCAGGGCAACGCAGAAGGTCTTCTTCGAACCAACGCCGTCCGCGCCTGCGCGGCCTCGCTCCCCCCGAGGCGCCTGCGCGCCCGGTCGCCCCCGAGCTGGAGCGCGCCGCGGAGTCGCGGGTCGCCGAGCGCAGCAGCTGGGCGACACACACCAACTGTCCGGCCCCAAGTGCGCGTGCGCGGGAGGCTGCGAAGAGGCAATGCGCAGAGGGGCCTGGGGACCACAGCCCAGGCCCGCAAGGGGCTCGCTCTCGCGAGAACTCCCCTAGGCCCTAGCTACTGTTGCCATGGGGACCGCGCGACAAGAAGACGTGGACTCCTGTGCCAATGGACGCTGTTCCTGGCACGTCACGCCAGACTATCACTCTCTTGTGGATGTCTTGCAGGTCTTAATGGGGATTCATCTCAGATTACTAAAATTCAAGAACGTGACCCTTAAGTCAACTCATCGTAGGATGAGAAAACTTAGGTCTCCAGAGGGTAAGTGACTTATTCAAGATCACGCAGGTAGCAGTAGATTGTAATTCAGAGGGGGTAGAGGAGACGAAGGAAGGAAAGCTCTTCTCTAGAGGAGAATACCAAGTAATTGATGTACGAGATTACAGAAATCAAAGGATTTCTGTGATTTCAAGAAGAGAGGAGGGGGGAAAGGAGGGGAGGGGGAGGGGGAGGGGAGGGGAGGAGAGAAGAGAAAGAAGAGATCACCCTCAATTAAGAGACCAACCAAACCTAGTATCACCCGGGTGGTAGACAGTGACGTGTGCCGCTCCCCCCATCCCCACCCCCTCCATGTAATGCATAGAGGACAAAAGATAATTGTTCTTGCCAAAAATTGTGTTATTTCTTTCATGAGGAAACAATCAGACAAATCCAAATTTAGGGAACTTCAGCAAAACAACTGCCCACTCTCTTCAAACATGTCAGTTTCATGAAAGATTAAGAAAAAGGATAGTTGACTGTTCTAGATTAAAGGAAACAAAAGAAAGATAGGATAATAAAACGAATGGGGGATCCTACATTGGACCTTGAATAGCAAAACAGTTACTAAGGAACATTACTGGGACAATTAGGAAAAATTGAATGTAGACCATCTTAATATTGTAACAATGTAAAATTTTCTGAGGGTGATGTATCTTGGTTATGCAATACATGCCCTTGTTTTTAGGAGATGCATGCTGAAATATTTAGAAGTATGTCTGCCACAAATTCTCAAATGGTCTAGGAAAAAGAAAGAGAAAAAACAAATATGACAAAGTGCTAACACTTGTTGAATCTAGACATAAGATATGTGTGTGTTCACTGAACTAATCTTGGTACTTCCCACTAAGTTCTTAAATTTTCAACCTGAAGAGTTAGGAAGAAAAATATCCACAAAGTCTGTGATCAGTATACAATACAGGTTGCTGCTTGAATCAATAGGCAGACAGCATTATTCACCTGCAGTGTGTAAGGCATTTCAAGTTAAGAGATATGACAAATGCCACAGAGGGACTCGTAATGTAAGACTTGGACAAATACCTACTGAGTTAGGCAGAATATGATAAATGTCATAAACAAAGCAGAGTAACCTAGTAGCCTAAATAAAATGAGCTTTGGGGTCAAAAAGAGGCTGGGTTTGTGTCTCAGCTCTGCCAACTCCGTGGTTGTAGGCAAGCAACTTAACTTCTCTGTACCTCAGTTTCCACACCTATGAAATAGAACTAAATAATATCCACCTCGGTGAATTATGGTGAATATTAATCACAGCACATAATCCACCTGGCAAATGGAAAATGTTCATTAGTTAATATCAGATTAAAATTAATATGCTATAGGAATTTTAAAGCTATATTAGCAAACTCCAAATTTATTCATATCAATTTTACAGCCATTGCTACAGCCTATGCTTTGGCTGAGACATGGCCTTTGTCAAGTACAGCAGCTATTAAAAGAGCACTTTGCATGGGAATTTAACAGCATTCCTTCCTTCTCTTGTTTCTGAAAGTCTCTCTTTTTTAAGGACCTGACACCATCAGTCCTACATTGTCCAGAGAGATCTGCTCTCTCCCACAACACCTAAAGCAGGAAGGCAATAAAAGGAACTGGTCAGGAAAGCCACTGCTGCAGAAAGTCCTCCTTCCTGTGTTCCCTGTCAAATTAGCTGCACCCAGATTAACACACGATGTACCTAGCAAGAGTCTGGCCTTTAACTACCTTCAAACTGCAGTCAGTCCTCACTCCCCCACCCACAATGGGATCTAAACTCTTGGGAAGTATAGAAAGGACCATCTCAGTCCAAATCCTATTATCATGGCATTCTGCTCCTATAAAGCTAACAGACTCATAGGGTTTGAGAGGAGGACTTCAGACTCTTTCCTTTGAGGCATCTGCTCAGTGGTTATAGTATAAGTGCTCAGAGCTGATATCTGAGAAAACACTTTCAAAATGGCTATTATACGGAGGCCCAAGGAGAAGGTATGACCCAGTGAGCAGGGTCTCAGGACACCAGTTATCTGCTCGGGTCAAGATAACCTTCTAATTTGCCAGTTGTCTTTTTGAGAGCAAAATCTCAAAAAATAAAGTTTTGCTCTCAGAAATTGAAAAACAGCTGAGAAAAGAAGCTCCACTGTGGAGATTTGTCTCACTGACGTTAAGTATAAAAATATTATAAAATGCCAAGCCAATGATAATGTTTAAGTCTGTTTCTTCAAAGGAAAAGGCCCACTGGCTTGTTTTCAAGGACTCCAAAATTCTGATGAGACCTGAGGATCCCACTTACTTAGCAGCAAATGGCATCTTTGAGCATTCTACAAGGAGGCAGCAGAGCACAGTGTGACAGCCTAAGAGAGCCTGGATGGAGACAGAAGTCTTCCCAGGATGCCTCAGGTAGACAAGAGAGAAATGGTTTCCAGAGCATGATCAAAGACTGATTTCATAAGCTAAAACTCCATGTCAAAGGACTCATCTCAAGGAAATGATCATAAACTTTGCAGATTTATCTTGAATAACTTGAATGATTTAAAGAAGCAAAACAATTTAAAATTTAAAACAACCTAAATGGCCAACATTTAGAAGATTCATTAAATAAGTCATAATATATCCATATTCTGGGTCATGATTCAGCATGGGTTCTGATAATATTTGAGGATGTGGAAGAAAGGCTCAGAGTAAAGAAAAAAAAGGGTGGAAACAAAAGTGTGTAACCTGAGTGTGGGGGGCGGGGCGGTGTGGGTATGTGTTCTTCTTACTTTAAGAAGAAGCAAAGAAGCAAGAAGCCAAGAACTGGTGGCTCAAGCCTGCAATCCTGGCTACTTGGGAGACTAAGATTGGGAGGATTCCTGTTCAAGGCCAGCCCAGGCAAACAGGTTGTAAGCCCCCATCTCTAAAATAACCTCAGCAAAATGTACTGGACTATGGTAGAACTCAACTGGTAGAGCATCTGCTCTGCAAGTATGAAGCCCTGAGTAAAAAAAAAAAAAAGAAGAAGAAGAAGAAGCAAGGAAATTACAAACATCCTTGTGTACCTCTAGTAGGATGGAGGGACTGGACAGAGGACAGACACAAGAGTAGATATGGGTATAATGATAGCTAGTTATAGAGCTGATGATAGATTGATTACATTGCATATTAAATAAATTCTGCATGTATATGAACATGAACAGAAAAAAGGTGAGAAAATTTTACCAAAGTCTAATGGTGACTATTTTACTTTTCTTCACTTTTCTGTATTTTCCAAAATTTCTAAAACTTGGAAACACATATATCTTTCATAATTAGGAAAGTCAGACTCACTTTCATAAGGTGGGGAAGTACCTTATTCATGAGAAGGGGAGGCTGTTCCATGGGGAATTTCCACCAGAAATTGGGAAATGCTTCAGGAATCACACATACCTGGGATTTAACCTGGTCCTTCTGAGGGCTCACTTTGCTTTTGGCCACAAGGGGGAGCAAGGAGACAAGGGAAAAGTCAAGCAAAACTGCTTGGTGGGCTCTGAGTTTCCTGTTCTGAGTCAGGGTGAGGAAGGACCTGGTCCTTCCTCCTGCTCCCCAAAGCCTCACCCAAGATCATCATAAGGTTGTGAACACACCATGATTCAGGAGTGAACAGTGTTTCTGCGGACTTCCTACCAAAGCCAGAGTCCAATTTGAATGTCCACATGTCATCAAATGTTTATAAAGTGTTTATAAGGAGAGAACAATTTTCAATATACCACATGTAGGTTAGGATATGGCCTGGCTAATACATCCTACAAGTTATTTAATCTTAATCTCATTTACATGGAAGATAATTTAGGGAAAAAGAAGGCAAAAGTACTACAGTTCTAAATAAACCATAACCAGAAACAGTGTTCCCTAGAGTTTACTTTTTAGTAAGTTTCAAGCAAGTTTGGGAATAGACTTCAGTTAATGAGTTGTGTAGTATGGTAAAGAGGAAAGAATATACTTTGAAATCAGAAAATTTATGTCAAATCCTGGATCTGTAACTCTCTAGCAATGTGACCTTGGGCAAATTATTTCACCTCTCTGAGCTTCGCTGTCTTCATTTTTTAAAATGGAGATCCCCAGAAGTAAACTCTTAGTTCAGTGGGCCCACCCAGGAGGCTTCAGCCATAGACAGCTTTCTTTGGCCAAAGTCCTGGGGAGGCTTGGACTACACCCAGGGTAGAGTCCTGGCATGGAGGAGCCAAGCTCACATTCAGAGAGTCAAATATGCCACAGCACCCAGGAAGGTGGAAGAATCAGATGGAGATTTGCCCTGATGGGGACTGACAGGGCTGTGCTAAGTCTAGTAGGGAAGGACACTAGAACTAGGCAGGGACCCTAGAGAGAACCCCAAGGAGATTCAGGTAGGTAGTCTCTTTCTTCCAGTAGGGGACTCTAGAGTACATACGTATACAGCTCATGAGGAGCCACTGATGTTTTAAAGTTTGCTTCTTCAGAACTGGGTC